GCCTTATCGCCGCAATGGCCAAAATGACATTTCCTCCTTTTTCATTCCATTTCAACTTTATCTAGCTTCCTAGACATATTCACCCGATAACTGCATCTTTTGGTGCGCTTTTTAAAATTTTTTTTTGAGAAGAACAAGTCGAAAGTTGTAAATTTGTAGGTAGAATGGCCCTATTGTACCGTTGTTAACTGCTTTCACTAATATTGACCCCGGCATTCAATTCGCAGAAATATCAACTAAGGCAGTTGTACCCATAAGCTCTCCAGCTTTTACGCGGTCGGTTAATCCAACATATCCGCCCACTGCAGCAAGTAAGTCTCACTACTCAGTGTCTTAACAAGTTTATAAGTTGCGAAAATTAAGCCAACCATTTTCAAGTTTTGATGCATATAGAAGAACGGAAGCTACCGCGAGAATAAATAACACCCCCAGATCTTGTTGAGATAGCGAGATATTAAAAGGCTTTAACGCGGTAAGCCCCTATAAAAGCTTCCAAAAAACGAAAGTAAAAGCAAATAACTTAATTCTGTTCTGCTATAACCCCGTGATCGATTCACTTTGAAGTACTTTGCCAGCTTTTAGGTACGAACGTTAATAAAATTCGTGGAGGCATTGTCCGATGTTTCCTTGTTCATATTACTTTTGCAAGATACAAAACTAAAATACAACGCAATTTTTTATTCATTTGAATAAATATATATTACACTAATATTTATTCATTTGATGATTATTTTCCTAAATAAGCTATTATTGCATTATTATTCTATTTTAATCCCATAATATACGGCAGTGGTTAACGCGAGGATCTAAACAATGAAAGTACAATAGTTGTTTATCGCTTTCGAAGCTTCAATTAAAAAGCTACGGACGGGGGCTGTCGTGTACTTCTATTAATACAAAATGTCGAAAATCGCTTCGTGGAACTGTTGTTCAAACCGTTGCATCTACTCTCTTAGAGACGCTTTCCTGCCCCCCTACCGTGTGCTATTTAAACGAACCGGACGATGAACGCGAGTGTATGCGCACATAACCCAATCAATTTTCATCGTATACGACGGTTATCTGTGATTCTTGTAAACAATACTAAAGGCGATTGTTTTGCTCGTTTCTAAAGCAGGCACTAACTGCGCATCAAAATATCGGCAATATCAAAAGTCCGTTTTTGTGAAACGAAATATTTGAATTAGTTTACTTCTAAGTTTTTTTCGTTAGCACTCAAAATTTTTCCTTAAACTCCATCGAAGCTGCATAGGGTCTGGCAACTAACTCTCATGCCGATCGTGTCTAACTAAAAAAGTTCAAACCTCAAATATCGTGGCTTCGGCACAAAAATATTCGATTAAGGCTGCGAAGACTGTCGATGAAACAAGCATCAGCTTACTATTACAAGATGAAACCTTCAATTGAAACCGTTTCGGATTTAGTTGGCATATGCTGTATATTGCTTGTTGCTGGCTAGCTATGGTTGCTCTGAGGTTCTACAAGTGTAAATACAACACACCGAACCGAATCTGCTTAATCCTTCCTCATTTTCTTCTCATTCAAAGGCCAACTAACACCTTTTACACAGTAACTCTCATTAAATGCCTAGAGAAGCCATTCTGCTGTAAAAAGTACTGTGGAAGCGTTAGACGGGACAAACGTTCTACCTTTAGGTAGTAAGTAGCTAAACTCGCACACGGTACCACGGCATGATTTTTGGTTTTCCTTTGTGCTTTTTTAAAAATGCCCGATCAGCTGGAACTTCTATGTTGATTTTCGACTCTGCATAAATTATAGTACGTTCATTTTTTAACAGCTTCGATGCTAAACAGACAGGTCAAGCTTTTCTCCGGACCGCAGTCCTGTCTAAATTTCATCAGGACCAATGATTGGCAGCTTCAATGTAACACGAACCAGAATAAGCAGGTACAAACTTTTACAATACAATCATTATGCTATCTAACCAGCTTTCAGTTTTCTTGTAGATCAATTTTATGCCAGCCCCTTATCTATCTCGAACAATACAGAGGTACTATGTTAGGCTTCCATGGCAAACGTCGATAAGAAACTCATGAATCCTTGTCACTGCACGTCGGTCTGATTAAATCAATACGCGTAAATGAAGCTATATCGGAAACTGCTGACGAGTTGAAACGTCGAATCGTATCCTATACCTTAAAGAAAGTTACATTTTTATATATACCTTTGATTTATGAAGACACACGCTTCCAACTTAGGCCAACGCATAAGAGCACTTGTGGACGATTTTTAAATCAACCGTGTAGTAGAACTTCCAAGCTCTAGTTGCTGTATAAGCAAAAGCTTACTTAAAGTGTGTCGACTTACTTCGATATGTCTCGATTTTTATTTGTGACCTGAATAGAGGTAAAGTAATATAACACAAAACAAAATTCGATTCCTTTTCTTCTTTGAAGATAAAGATTTTTCTGCTTGCAGTAAATATTTTTATGTACACATATTTCATATAGTAAAAATAATCTGACTATGAGTCAGCGTATTTTGAGGCCTGTACAAATTCTTAAACGCTTCTAAATGTTATTCGATAACCTAATCATAGAATTTACCGGGACGGTAACCATTCAAGAATATTTGGCGAACTTACATTGGAGTGTTATCCTGAAACAGCTTTTGTCGTTTGCGAAAAGTTCTTCGTCTAGCCATAGCGGGGGCTCACCTAGCGGACCTTTGTAGCCGCCTTCCCTAGTCACTTTTTGTTGGAAAAGGGATGGCCTTAATAAGGGTAACTGCTTCATTTTCGGTCCCACATTTCCATTGCGTATTCTAGCACAAAAATCCAATTAGGCAAACTGCCAGACAAAGTTGCTATGCCTTACACTTATTTGTTTATACATTGTTGCTTTCTATACATTATCAGAAATCGACGTAAGTTAAAAGTTTTACTCCGTGCCTGTTTTCTGTGCAACGCTAACTATGATCCCACGTACTGCGTTTCTGCTCAAAGAAATTAAAATTGAATTAAGCATAACTTGAAGTTATGACTATCTATATTACCACACCACATAGTATTAGATGAGCCTAGTGAAAAATAGAAATTCGATCATTGGATAGACTTATAATAAATTCATATGGGGTTACAGGTTATTACGCAGTCCTGTAAGAAATTAACCGAAGGACGTCTAACTGTGCTTGAAATTGGACGTCGACATTTTTGCATTTAAAATAAATGTGGTCATCTAAATATGAACCAAAATGAATTTCACGAAAGGTTACCTTTGGTAGGTTTCTAAACAAACTGTATTTGGTTCCCATCGAACAACTGGAATGTGTGTGAGATACAAGTTACAATCAATTTAATGATAGTGACATTGCGTTTAAAAAGATAGACCTTGCTGTAAGGATTAGGAATCATTAATTGCAAAGTCTTATAATGATAATACTATAGTTAAAAGGATAACTTTTTTTATTTAAACGGCTGCTGTAGTATGTGTCATCGTCAGGATCTGAAGCCGCGACCCTTGGCCTCTTCCACTGTTTTGGCCATCCAAGCCACCGCGTATGGAATAGTAATATAACGAAGTCAGAGTCGGAGAGAAGAACGTGTCTAGATAGAGTAGTATAAATACTACCTTTATTAACAGAATCATTATTACAGACAAGTAAAATGCAGTATTTCTAATAGTACTTGAATAAATTCAATTCTTTATTCTGAAAGATACACAGAATGCTACTTTTAAGGTATGTTCTGCATATAACATAGATATAATTCATTTAATTGGTTTGAATAGGGAAACTCTGTTCGATTGGTTATAACGGTCACGTCTCACGGCCAAATATTATTGTTGTGGATCATTTAACACACCCTATCTTTTAAGAAACACCAAATGAAATACCTCCTTGCCTATTCTTGCCAGTTTGCTACCGATTATGTAATGCATGATACGCCATTTTCTAAGAATATCTAGAGCTTTTACAAAGGTTAGATCTTGAAATCATGCAAAAATAACATAAGTCGACTCTTCTTTGAAAAAAGGCGAATTTACGGATTTTTTTTCTTTTACAGTAGAGCCTTACTATACACTCAGATAAGCAAGTAGTTGTCATGCGTTTATAGCTGCCTAAAGCTTCTGAAACGATCTAAAGTCATGTTTGGACTATCTTACGTCCGTATATATGACAAAGAGATAATAATAATAATATGAAAACAAATGCTATTTATTCACCTCTCATTCAGAGGGTACATCTACGTCGTATACGGGAACTCGAATAGGCAATTCCTGGCTTTAGTCACCCAAGAATTCAGCAATCGAAATCACCGCCATTCATGTTACCAGTCACACTAATATTGAAATATTTACGGTAAATAGATCAACGAACTAATGACATACAAAAATTGTGTAACTTCATTCAATTCATATGTACCTTTATTATGTCAAAGAAATAACTTCCGCTGGTATGGCCCTAGCGTGTATCATACGACAGGAAACCATTTATTTTATGCACCTACAACGTTCAGTTAGATGTATTACTTCGGAAAGAATCAAACTTCGATTTCGAAAATTAATCGCTCCCATGTAAAATAATAAGGTTTTTCAATGTCACTCTTTGAAGCACAAGTGCATTTTCCTGTTGCAACGGCATGGCAACGGATAGCAAAAACACTGTTTTTTCAGAGCAAAAAAAAGTGTCAAATGTTGAACTCAGCTAGAATGTCTTTATGTGTATTTGTCGATGATAACTCTTCTGCACTTGTTATCTGAATGTGTACGTATGCGTGTGTGTCGTACATTTATTAGCTTCTTTTTTATATATGCAGAAGAAAAAAAATATTGCTGGCTTTTAGATCACACGTTTAAATGGAAAATGTATAGAGGTATAGACTTGCTACTTCACGTTTGCTAGTTTTTGTTATTCCCTCTCATACTAATTGGGCGCTGCTATTAAATCAGTTCACATGTAAATCCACAGACAGATAGAAACACCATAAAAAAAAATAGAAGAGACGTAAAATATTTTTAAATTCATATTTTATTGTGAAATCGACATCTTAAATACAATTTAATACACAATATCTTTACAACGGATGTTTGGTTTCATACCATAACATCTCTCGCTCGTTTGCCCCACCCTGTTTTACTCCCTCTCATACAGTACTTTAGTAGTTCTTTATCTTCGGGGTCGGTGGCAATTATATGGGGCGGGAGTGGCCTGGCCTGGCCTGGCCGCAGCGGCAGTGAAGCCAGCCGCCGCCATCGCCATCGGGCTTACACGCACTAGATCACGCATATTTCATGTCGTTTCTTATATACACCCGAACAATAACACAAAAATAATCCCGTCACTAAATAACGCCAAGACACCTCGTCACTTGCTGCTGTTGAATTGCTACTGCACTTACTCAACTATTTCACCAAATATAAAATCTTTATCCCCTTCGCTTTCGCACTCGCTACTTCGATGCTGTTGTTGTTATTATTGTTGTCCCTGAGTGCTGCTTCGCATATCGTTTGACTTATTTTTGTTTTGACTTTCATTATTTATCACTTTCATACGTGGTCTTTTCGGACCTGTGTGCTCACTGCTATATTCTGTCACACTCGTCGACTTTGTCGTTCTTTTCTTTTGTTTGCTGATCCATGCATTTCTCTTTCTAATATCTCATACGGCCCAAGTGATCCTGTATGAGATCATAGTTCTTCTTAACTGCCTTCGTCTTTTGTTGCGCGCGAATTATGACTACTATATTATTATAGCTAAATTTCGCTTACACAATTTTTTACACAATTCGTACGATTTCCTTGTACGCTATAGCACTGTTCGCCTTTTAAGAAATTTGCATGCTTATTTGTTGTACTGGTCTGTCTGTGAAGTAAACCATAATCAACGCTATCGTTAACAAATATAAATGAATCAATGTTTGTGCGGCTGTGTGTGTGTGTGTGTGTGTATTTGCGTCAATGTGTATTTCGGTAGACCAACTGTTTATTCCAGCGGCTTCATCGTTTAGCTTATTCTGCTTTAGTAGTCGTGATAGTTATTCCATTATAAAAGTTTTTCGCCGTCATCCACTTCTGTTGTGTGGACACTGTGTTTATCAGCATTGTCTTCATTTTGTGCACGTTCGATGTCTATTGATACCTGTACGTTTGTGTGTTTTGTCCCTTCATGACGTTCTTTTTCACACAAGTGTTGTAACAGTTGCACTATCTTCATCTATTGCATATCATCTTTTCGTTGTTTCTTAAACCGCAACTGCTGCTATGATTGTCGTAACTGCTGTCGCTGCGTTTTTTATGGCTGTTTACGTGAAACAAGCACCTCACGCTTCCCCACCTAACTAATCGAAAACTTCACGCCGAAATGTTGGCAGTAATTCAAATAGTGGCGGGCTCTCGCAGTTGCCGTTTCTGCTCTCTGCCGAAAGGAAAATCGTGTGTTGCGTGTGATGTGTTTGTTAACTGTTGTTTTGTTTTTACTGCTCAGCTTTCTTGAACCTTTTTTCTCATTTTGTTATTTTTCTCTTTTCTTACTATTATTATTACTATATTATCTTGTACGCAAGGCGGCTATAATGCGTGCATGTTTTCTGCTGTCATTTTACCGTGAACGGAAAGGAAAGGTAATAAAAACTAAAAGGAAATGGGGTGATACTGGTATTGGAATTTTGGTAAGTGTCCCTTTCCGCTTAAGACAATTGGTCGTGCTTGTGAAAGTCTCTCTCTTAATTTGTTTCGTCTAAACAATTAGAATATCACGCTTGAATGATGTGGAGTTCATGGGGTCCAAAGCGAGCCCCTAGGCAGTGGCCGGTGGAGAGTGCTCACTCGCTGACCCGATTGCGAACAGGTGTCCCGAGTACTTCGAGGCATCGATGTTGTCCTCGAAGAACATCTGCAAGGTAGCGGCAGAGCACAGCAACAACAACAACAACAAAAAAGACCATCCATGACATCACACGGACAAGTTGTTTGAACGACGAATTCACCGAGACGCAAGCAAACAAGAGAAACACAATCAAAACAGCTAAAATTTTACGGTTAGTGCATTTTTCGTGTGGTCAGCCAGCAGGCGACGGCATTTCGACCCCACCGTAATCAGCTACTGTAATAGCATGCTAGCCTGATTCTATAAAGCCGGTCCTAACATCTAGCCTGGGTTCGCCCACACATAACCTTTGTCATGCCGAAGCTGAAAAAATATTGATTGGTTCTAATTGTTCTACCGCCCCCTTCTCCTTTCCCCACTTTTCTAATAAATTAACGGCATGCATAACAAATACACGTTACAACTCAGGCTAAAAAAATATGGATAGTATTTATTCCTCTAGGACACTCGCTCTTGTCTATTTTTTATCGTATTTTTTTTGCCAGTATGTTTCGCGGTGCATCACCTACTTAGTGTGCCAATACTATTACTTTTGCATTACCTCTATCTCCAACGGATAAGGCTTTCTCATAAGAGGCTCAATGCAAACCAACTATATTTTACTAACCTATTTCCCATTGGAAAAAATCGGCGCAGGGTTATCTCCGTCTAACTTAATGGAAGATTCAAAGTTTCGTGCATTGGTCGTAATCGCACAGTTAATCGCTATTAAGCGATCAATCACGTACGTATCACTAAGTATATACCAGCAACTCTCTTTAGTTAAATCTAACCCTAGTTTGCTCGAAAATAACGAGATTCTTTGCTTTATAGATCATGCTTAATCTCTTGAAATACGATTCGTTTGTCAGCGAAGTTGCCACAATGTGTACTATTAGCTAGGCGATTGCAGGCACCTTATATCACACAGCACTGCTAATGTCACCACCCCTTGAAAATATATCACACTTTTATTATCTGTAGCCCTTTAGGGGATGCTCTATTTGCTGCCTATTTCAGGTTGTTTCCCCCCAAATTATCATAGCATATATATTATATTCCAGGACATCTACACTCGAGCTCTGTCTTCGGCGCCGCTCTTATCTTAGACTAGGTTTCTTTGGCATCTTCAGTAGTAGAACATTTTCTTTGAATTGCTTCACTTGTTTCTTTTTATGTCGACTAATATTGACACTCGGTCGGGAAGCTCTTTTTCGCCTGAAATATTGGGCCGGTTGCAGACACCTTTCTCATAAACAACCACAAACTGGGAATGACAAAAGCCCCAAGCAGGCGCTGATGAGTATTGCTTTCTGTCCCCTTGAAGTTTTTACTTTGAAGGGAAGAGGCTTTTCGACGTAGCCCTTTATCTTTTAGTCTTGTCCCTTGTAACATACACGCGCTCGGCCAGTTTCACACAGCCATGGGACTGGGAACCACGCCGAGTCCAATCGCGGTTGAGTTGGGCTTGTCAATTGGCTGAGAGTCAGCCAAGTTATGGGGGGTCTTGCCATTAGTCATTGCTGTGTTTTTGGTCTGTCCATTTATGAACTCGATTTGTAGTGTAGAGTCGCGCTTTACGTCGAGCACCTTAAACGAGCCACGATCGGCGCCTTCGCCTTTATACTCCAAGCAGTGGTTAGCTGTTTCCAGCACCGAGTCAAGCACCAATTGTTCCTGAAAGCACCGATGATCAACTAGCCAAGCTATACACCAAGGAACCACCAGTCAGCACCAGGTATTCGACTAAACATGATGAACAAAGATGGCTGCTGTCTAGTAACCAGTCAATAAATGAGTCGATTCGGAGGCGAATCATCCAAGGCGCTACGGATGCACAATTAACCAACGACATAGACCCGTCATATAATATATATAAAACCCATCATATAAGAAATCAAAACAATGCATACATTTACTAGCTATTTGAATATCAATTTTCGGCTCGAAAATTATATAACTAAAAAAGCTTTAAAGAACCATATATTGAAATGGCACAGTTTTTCAAGCAGTGGTCCGAATACTGCACTACTTCATGTGGCATTATTTCCACATAGAGGCGCTTGCATCAGTTAGTACAAAATATGCGAAAAATATACACTCTGGCTCAAAATGGAAATAGGTTCCTACAAAGTCGTACTCGTTGCAAAAAAATACGACACACGACCTATTAACAACACGAAGGCAACATGTGTGTTAAATAGAACGTTCCGTAGTGGTCATGCGGCTGTGACCGCAACGCAAAGAGATGAACAAACCGCATCCAACATCCGTCCACGAGATAGTAGATTCGCCTAATAATGACACTATCAAATAATATACTTTGGTACCTTAGAACCATATAAAACGTATCTAAGGATATGTGGGACATAAGGTATCCAAGTGCAATGTTAACGCAAGATTCAGGCAAGTATTAATAGCAACGGCAGCATAAGTTGAGTTCTGTGCAGGCTGGTACATTCGGTGGGTGTCAATATGCCTGTAACCACTGTTACGTTACTACCTCTTCTGGCAGGACAACATATTTACGAACGCTTATTGTTTCCATTTGGCGCATAGTCGTTTCATGTCTTACCTCACGCATCTTGAAGAATGCCGCACCAGTCAGGAGCGAGTCTGAGCCAGCGGTATGCTGAGGTCCGATACGGACTAACTTCAGCTGCTCCGCCACCTCCTGCAACCCGCCCTTGAGGCTTTTACAGCTCTTCATCAGGTACTTGATATCATAGATGACAGGGAAGTAGATCTTTAAAAGTTCGAAGAATTCGTGCTCGTTTTCAGGGATCTTCTCCTCGGTTAATAGCTTGAGTAGGTAACCGAAGTCATATCCAGCGTGAAAGCAGAGCCACTGCACTCCCTCGCACAGAACCACCCCAGACGTGATCAGCAACTGTGCGAATTCGAACGGTTCAATCCCTTCATCTGCGTGACGTTCGAACACTATGCCTGATAATATGATATATCGTAAGAATACGCACGGGGCTATTAATGAATAGGTAGTCAACGAAACTGAATCTAAATCGAAGACTATGGAACCGAATTGATCGCGGTTAGACGCGAGATAGAGCTGTTATTAGAATTTCTCAATAAATGCCGTGGCATGTATCAGTTCACTATATTCTTCCATGAATTACAATTTAATCGCCATTGTCTCCGATTACACTCATGAAACAAATAGCCAATTAAAAAATTTCGGAATAATACAAACATCGTAGATCACCAGATGAATTTTGTTATGTTTGATAATACTGATATGGAAAGGAATAAGATTTAGGCGGAGGTGTACATATAATAATGCATATTCCTCTACGGCTGAGCAGAGAACAATATTTAACTTGATATTTTTTTTTCTATATTTACCTGAGTTAGCTAGAAGATCAATTGAATCTTGTGCAAACATATCCTCTTTAAGGTTAAAGCGGAAGTTGAACTGCCAAGTGGCTTTCGGGTTTCCCCGTTCATCGAAGAAGGTCAGTCCCAACTGTATCAATTTCAGTAAATCAACGTTGCACCTATGTTCAACATAAGAATTATAAAGAGGTATGTGCCGATCAACTGCAGTAATTTTTGATACGTGAGCGATTAAAACACTCTACAAGTATAGTGAATCTGATAAAGAATTTCCAACATAAGGTTGACTCGAAAGCCACACATTTCGATAAATACAATTGATATATAGATATTTCTCTTAGTTTTAAATAGAATTCTACATGATGTATACTATGTATTGTTTGCTGCTAGAACGAGATCACGTAATTTTTTAAAATAATCATGCATAGATTCTGTCTTCAAAAACACGCATATTATCTATATATTCTGAAAGCACCTACCGAAGGATCTGGTACTGATATTCACCCATCGACCGAAATTCACCTATGGGCATAGCAACGACACCCGGAAATTCCGTGTCAAAGCCTATGTATGGATACTTCTTCACGACATGCCTCCAATTTAATACCGAAAACATAATTGTTAGTAGAGTCCAATGCTAGAGGTAATTACTTCTTCCTCACAATTTCTAAAAAGGGTGGCAAATTATCTGGCATCAGTAATCGCACTGCAAACCTTTGAACTGTATCTATCAGTTTAGTCGTAGTTATTTTTACTCCGTATCTATCGAAAATGCATTAACGGGTAATGAAGAGCATCACCTTCTTAGTGATATATATATATATTTGAAAACCTTGTATAGCAACATGGATACGGAGTGCAGTAAGCGAAAGATCTGTATGAGCTTAGTTGGAAGCCGTTTGCTTGCGAGCTCAATGGACCTTCTTAAATTAATACCACAGTAGTCCAAGCTAAAACACTATTATTTTTTCATGTCATTATTATACCGACGTAGACACAACAGAAATCTAGAATTATGTTATGCCTACTACATAATAACTAATTACCTCTGTTTAGTTTACCGTTTTGGAAACCTATACATACTATATTGAATAATCAGAAAATTATTGTGTATGTATTTTTCTAATATCTCAATTGAAATATTCAATTCAACAAAAAAATCATTTTGAAACAAGATTGCCCACTAACGTAAGCTGCTTTGGCTCTCAAAAAAAAACACATTATTATATTCAAAACACCATTTGATTTGCTTGTAATAGGATTGACATACATTACAGCATTATATGACATACATCGAACACAGTGAAAGAACGTTTGTGTATTCGTATTGTAAATAATATAATGGATCTCCTACGATCATTTTGTTCAACCATCTTTGAGATTAATATATCGACTGAAATGTGCATTCATACCTATTATGCACAGCTAAAACTAACGCGTCTTGCTAGTAACGATGCGCAGAACTTGATCTTTAAAAACGCATAGTTGGAATACGCATCTGACTCATTATAGTGAATGTCTAAGGTAAGAGTCAACAAATATTAAATCCTCATTGTGCAAGTTGCCGGTTATTTCTTTGCAGGTTGAATTTCAATTCCTTTTATCCGAAAATTTTCGAAAAGCATCATATCAGTATCACTTTGGCGCACTAACGCATCGAGGAGGATGGTGAGCCTGTATGATCTCGATCAGTCCAGGAACTCAAAACGAAAAGCGCAAATATAATCATTGAAGGAAGAAAATGCAGAACAGCAGCTTTTATTTGCTACTGGAGTAGTGCCAAATCGCTCCTATATGCGACTGGCATGCTACATGGTTTTAACTATTGCAGACAGAGCGACAGTTTAACTTGTCAACCATCACAAAGCATGATGCTCTTCTAGTAGCTAAGTGTCTTTTTTCAGTAAAATTTATTCCGCGCGCAATTAAGCGGAACGACCCGTACGAATTGTAATTGCCTTAGCTACGCATTTCTAGCCCACGTTAGCTATCATTTACTATAGTATTACTTTAGTTCCGGTCGTAATTGACAGCGGTACTTGTGATATACGGACGACAATTTCTATGGTAACTGTACACATATACATGGTAATTGTTCGGCAATGCCGAGGTTTTGTAAGCGTATGCAGAATTTCCGTAAAGTCACGCAGCACGATCGCGTAATTAACACCCGCTATGAATGAATGCACATGTGCAGTAAACGAAATGGCGGCGAGTACCTACTTATCCGGAACCTGATCCTAATGTGCTCGTTTCTACCAGAATCGTTCGTTTTTTTTCAGAATTGTCTAGAACGCATTCTAAATGCAGGAATTGTTCTGATGAGAGCTGCTGCGGGCCGTGGTTGTGACAGATCATTTGCCGCCCGCAGAGCCCGCGAACTCTGAAGATGTGACCGCAGGCGATTCGCGTTCTGTGCAATTCTATCTAGCCTCTAACTGTCTCTTCTCTTAACAGCGCTCAAATGTTGCAGCGCAATTGATTGCAGCGTATGTGGATTAGTGAGAAGCACCCTTGCCAATTGTTTCCTATCGAAAACTTTGCACATTACATACTCTCTTGAGAAGCGAACCAAACATTTTCCGTCTAGGTCATCGTCGTAAGTTTTCTTAATACCGATTTGATCTTGATCGAACTGTTCGCACTACTCCCTCCGGCGTACCTGATTTCCTTGAAGGCGTGTTCGAGATTTGATGCCCACACATCGTGGACGCCCTCCCAGGTATCCGTCCGCATCCTAGCCCGACCAACTGCTTCGGAGAGCCACGCACTTTTTCCAGGGTTCTCGCAGTGTTGTTCTTGTTCGAGGGACACTATTACTGACGACTGAGTTCAACACTCCACTCAGACACATGCAAAACTGCCGGCATGAGTTAAATGATTCCTGCGTCCACTAAGAGGCTGAGCATATAGAAACTGTTGCGTGTCACTACACTCTAGTCTGTCTTGAATCTGCATTCGTTTGTGCGTTTATTAAACTTCTAAGAACTAGAGTCTCATGTTTCGTTGATACATGATGATTCTCACGAGCAGCGTACCCTGAAGGAGCGCACTGTTGATCCTATTTGGTTGTGTGGATTTTGGCGAACGGCCACAGCGATAAGATTGGCGGAGCAGAAGGGGTCAATCTGAACGATTTGAATGTGCCGCCACCATCATTGTTTACGCGGTTGTCAAGGGTACATTGAGTCTTAACCTGATTGTGTTGCTGGTCGGTGCGTGTATCAGTGTGTATGTGGCCGTGTGTGTGTGTGTGTCTGTGGCTGTGTGAGTGTCTGTGTGTATAGTGTGTGTTTGTGAGTGTGTATCTGGATGCGAGCGAGCTGGGCGAGCTAGTGTTGTGCAAAGGAAGCGGTGCTTGCTTCGGATGCTTTGCCTATTGGGCTAGTTGTTTGTCGGGTGGCCACTGCTGCTCCTGTTATTATTAGTGCTTGTGAGGTTGTGAGGACCAAATCGAAGGATACCTGCCTGCTAGCTTGTTTGTCCTTTGTTATCATTCGTGGATCCTGTATTTCTGCCAGCACCAATACAACCGCCGTCTTCGTCGGATCTGTTCATTGAATCATCTACACGTTGCCGTTCATAACCGCTACTGCCAGTTTTGTGCTGCTGCGGGGGTTCAGTTAAATGTCGTAGACGAAACATCCCCTGCCGGAATGGGAGGTGAGTGAGAAGCTGAAAACACGAAAATGTTTCATGATTCCTTTCTTGTTGCGTATGTATATATATACATACATATGTATATATGTACATATGTGTGGTGCACATATACAGAGAAATCTCTTCACAACCAACCTATCTTACGTGCATCATAGAAGGTTATAGATAAGGAAGTTTGTTTTAACTGTTTTTATTTATTTTACGAGAAGAGATGTTAGTATAACACAATGAAATGGCTGACAGCGGTACCGAATGTAAAATTCGAGACATTTACTTCAGTGTAATAACATGAAAGTAGATTTGCGATACATTCCATAGTTTCTGTAGCTATAAGAATGGTTGAATATAAAATGTATCGCACAGTTAAGTGACCTAATTACTATCGGTGAAACAATAATCTAGGCAATTTGCGATATGCCGTGTGTAAGGCATCAACATGTTGGTCAAATTCAGTATTAATTATTTCGAAGTAAAGTAGCCCAGAATAGTAAGCAGGTAAACTGCGCGCTAGGTAAGGCTGGAAATGGTTCCTGAATATTTTTCATTTTAGTAAAACTTAACTTTGGCGACAAAGTTAAAGCGGTACTGAATAATCCAATAGCTAGTTTTCGATAAATTCATATCTAGGAAAAGAATTAATTCTTCTAGATTGACAACTACGGATTGTACGTTTTGCAACTCAAAAGGTAAATATTTGAAACTTCATTGTTTTGTGCGTATGGCTTACATGTACGTTGTATATACGGGAAAAGGGTAAAGAAGCATCGCGAAATTCATTTACAATAATTGACTTTTTGTCTAGAATCAGCAGCTGCATACATACCAATGGACGGCAGAAAAAATTTCAGCGTGCGGATTTTAGCAATAGTTTCTAAGACAAAGTTCTTTTACTTTGTACGATCATTGAATCGCAAAACGATTTTTTTAAGTGCTAGATAAACATAGTTTGTTTAATGTTTAAACGCTCAGATAATATTTGCTCTGGTCCTTATTGTTTTTTTGTTAAATATTGTATCCTAATATAATATCCAAATTGTTTGTATCTTGTACGCATCTATAAGCGTATATTTTGTACGAGTTTGGAATCGCGACCTAACCGTAGGTTCACAGCACGATTACCGTATACGGATTAACGTTTGACGTAAATGTTTGGTACTCGTAGAAAACTCCTATGTTACATTACTTCTTTCTATATATACACACGGTTCCTACTAGTGGTCGGACTTTTTAAAGTTTCCCTTAGCTCACTAATAGTGTAAAAAATTAGGCTGAGCTGAGTACACTGCTATTGTTAAACGAGGAGGAATATTACGAATTTGAATAGTATTTTTACCAGCTGTCGTTACCAATGTTCTGTTGCCAATAGGCAATTCATATACACTTAAGGAATATTTATAAGAGAGTGCAATCATTTCCGAAATATCGGTATTTGTACTGGTAACAATAAAGAAGAAGCACTGCGTGCTTTATTCCTGTTGTTTTCTGCAGTCACAGCACTTGAGTCTTCGAACATTTTTAAGGTTTCAGGTAGAATACAGATATACTACAAAAATCCGCTTGATTTCGAAAGTTTATCATAGTATCTCATATCTACAGTTTAATGGAGGTTTACAACAAATGTTAGATCTATTCTGTTGCGTTTAGCTTTACAGCACATGCATGCATATTTCTGTCAATTTTATTGAATATATTTGAAAATGTTGTTTCTTCGTATTGGACAATCATCGATACGTGTCTTCGATACCTGTTCCCAGGTGTCTTAAGAGAAATGACTAATGAGCACCTGCGGTTCTTTTAGAGATCATCAATTTGTTTGTAAAGCTTTTTCCAAATATTAATAAAAATGGTCAATTTGCTCTTCTTATTTTATTTCTTTCTAAAAACTGCATATCTCATCGCCCACTTGTATACGCATTACATATGTTGTCCAACCACAGCTTCAATCGTATATATCTTTAGGTGGCATGAACAACATAAGCAACAGTGATATGACGAAGCTAAACGGTAACGTAAATAAAATGTTTAATCCAGCTATTTTACTGAGGAGCATTTTTATAGGCATCTTTTTTGCTTTTTTACCATATTGTCCTTATTTTGATTTGAAAGAGAAAAACGAAAGAGGCATGGTAGTTAATTTGAAAATGTTAGAAAAGGCTGGAAAGTTGTATGAGATATTTAGTCGATTGATTTTCGGTCACTTTGACAGATTCGGACTACGGAGCGGCGATGCCCGAGGCCCTGGAGAAACCCCCGCCTCCTCCCGAAATGCAGGCGCTTGCCTCCCCTGCCGACAATAACAAACAAGACAACATAGATATAGAGACAAACAAAGCAAACGGAGGAGGCGAACAATGCACCAATACCAACACACGCAGTAATAATACTGCCGAAACAAATAACAACGTAAATAATGATGATTCACCTGAAAAATCGGTCAAAAGCAATGGTGATGTGGTACAGTCCGGCGAGTCTCGCCCCAGTCACGATGACAGCATCGATCGTCAAAGCGACCTCGACCTACGCCTAAATGAGTCTTCTGAATCACTCGTGGAGCTCGATGAGGTGTGCTTAGATGCGGCTGCAGCTTCGACGAAATCGATCAGTAAAAAGCTACCAGCCGAGCTGCAAAGCTCAGATGGATCTCTTGATACTGCTGTCACCCCAGGCTTTTCATCGGAGCACCCGATTAACCCTAGACATTCAATCGGCCCAGAGCCCAAAGAACAAGAAGCGTCTGCCGATGAGTCGCCTCGTGTTGAAGCATCTGTTACAGACAATGAGCTTGGAACAGGTACTCCAGGGGTTGTAGATTCGCACCAGAGCCAAATAGAGCAGCCGGTATCACCGGCAAAAGTGAGTGGAAGTAACGATTCAGTAGAGAGTAGCTCTTCATCGGTTAACGTCACTACACCTCCTTCAAGCGCAGGCAATTTGCCGCAAGTTCGGAGTACCAGCCCTGAGATCGGCGAGGGCGAGGCAGCACCGTCCGAAGACGTCGTTACCATCGTCGTGATGGAGAAAGATGATGAGGAAGAACTGAGCGAGGAGGAAACCGGCCAAGAGCACCTGCCAGAGGATAACGAAGCCGAGACTAGCACTCCAATGGAAAACGATGATTCGGGTGAAGCTAGTGGTTCCGGTGAGCCCGCCGTTAAACTGGTAACCATTGAGGACGGTAAAGAAGATGAGGCCGCAGCCGGTGAAGACTTGAAACAGGAGCCGGAAGGACGGACGGACAATGAGGCTACTCCTGCGGCTGCCACTGCCCCTATTGACAGCGACAGCAGCTCAAGGGAGGCGGAGCAAGCCGAGAGCAGCTTTCTTATCCTGGGCTCTGACCATAGCTCTGGAGAGTCGGGAGGCGAGGAATCGAGTAAAAGTAAAGAGAACGGGGATGTTGACAATGTCTCAGCGATTCGGGTTTCCTCTTCTGGCGATGCGCCTCTAACAAAAGTAAGTTCTGCATGAATCTTCCGCAAGCTAAACATTTTAATTAATAATGTTTGACAAGTGTTGTTCGTATTGTATTAAATTTGCATAGAATTGTAAAAGGCATCGATTAGCACGTCGAGCTTTTTTAACGTAACGTGGTGTGTAGAAAAAAATAATGCCGTACAGCGTAAAATTAAGCACGTGTCATTTTCTATAATCGGTGTGTCTTTCTAGACTGGCAACAGTGAGCAGGACGGTGAAAAAACGCATTCATCTCCGGAAGAGATGAATGACGAACGTTTTGCCGAAATCGAGAGTTTGGTTGCGGCATTCGATCGTCCCGAAGATGAGTTTAATGACGGTCAGCCTGGATCCGCTCAAACGGTAAGGGTGAAAAGAGAAGCTATCGCCGATAGTCAACCGACGGTGTTGCAGGGAAAAGTGCAAAAGAAACGTGGACGTAAGAGCAAAGAGGAAAAGGAGCGTCTTGCGAGATTGGCGGAAAACCTATCATCAGAAGACGCGAGTGACGACAGCAAAAATAAAAGGTTCAAATCTGAGAAGTGGGCTAGCGGTCTCCGAGTAAAGTCGGAAAAGCTAAGTGAAAGTAAGCACCGAAAATCAGCAATGGCGGCTGCGGTGGCTCTTGACCCGGTTCCGAGTGGTGAGGTAAAAGAGCAAAAAATTCAGAAAGCTCGACGTACTGGTGGAGCGCCAACGAAAAAAGAGACACAAAGGCTTGACAGCGTAGCTGGTGGTAGCAGCTCAGAGCTTGTTGTTGACGCTGTGGCTGGAAGCCAAAAGGATATACCTACTGTTGTTGGTAAGTTTACACAAATTCTGTTTAGTTTACTATTGTGCGTAAAAGATTGTTAAGGGCAAGGATGCCTTGAAAGTAATTGAAAAAAGTGAAAGTTGGAGATATGAACAGCCCTTTATTTTCAACGTGACTTCTTTTCAACGTGACTTCTTCTAGCTCGATTCAATGATGTAGTCAATCGAACTAGCATCAACTATCAAATCTTAATAGTGAGCTGTTGACAGACCCGTAAGTGCAGACATCACAGCTCGATATTAGTCTAGTATAGACTCCACAAACTGGAGTGCGAAGAACAAAATCAATCAAAAAGTAAGGAAACAATTCAGGCTAACATATTGTTTTACCTAATTCATTAGGAAACGGCAAGCTTCGTGTACATGGCTATGACCGAGTAAACCCACAAACAGGCCTACCTGAGCTAGTCACCGTCAACCGAGAGGCGCTTGAGAAAGTTATATCGGAACAGAATGGCCAAATGCAACGCATGAAGGCTAAACTCAAAGAAATGTACAAGGTCTGCGACGATCTCCGCAAGGTTGTTTTAACAAAAGGACTTCGTAAGTATCAAATGCCTTTCTACAGATAAACGTTGCAGTACGGTGCCATTTTTTCACGCCGAACACCATATATAAATATATATTGGACAAGGATCTAAACTGGGGGCGAATTGATTTCCTTAATTAACAATTTGATTTCAGCCCATGCTTTTGTCATAAGTTTGTTTATAAATAACTGATAGCAGTAAGATCCAAAACGCAGAGTCCGTACTAAGGTTCTACGCAACTACATTAATCTAAAACAGCTAAAAATATCTGAAAAGAGGATATGTTCATTAGTTTGTTTCATCTACAAATAAAATATGCCGGCAAGAGTTGATCCAGTAACACCTCGCATCTCACAGACCTATTTGACCTAAATAAGCTTATTATTACAACTGACTTAAACAGTAAATAAATTTATTCAAAATAAGATTGATGACATATCTTAAAATAGGTCAGTGACCTATTTGGATTACATCAATTTTGGAAAATATGATGAAAATTAGATTATTATGTCTGTAATGTTTTCACGTTATCTAGTAATAACTAGGAGCAGTTCAATGAGAGTATTCATTTCATTTCCTTTAGGTAACGCCCTATGCTAACGTCTTGCGACGTGCTTTGAATTAGTTGGTTTTTACAAACATCGGGATCTATCAGAATGAATAATAGTAAGGTGCTTTCTAGTCACAGTTTCATTATATCGGCTAGCCAACAACCGTACCGCTAGTCGTGGCTGGCCTGTTTCCTTACTTAATTTTGTGGCGGTCTCGGATAGCTTAGCGTCTGCTACTCCAGACGACGCTAAGCGTCCTACTACGCATGCGCGCACAATACATGGTTACAATAAGACTATATCTCTCAGGAAGAGGCCGGCGTGTCGTTCAACTGGCAAGACAAACAGATTGTATAGCTTGCAGACTATAGTAAAAAGTCCTAATAACATAATGTAGTAAACACCAAAAAAAAAAGTTAGCGACAAAAACAGAATCTTATGTTTACGAATTCAAAATCTATTTGCAATTGGCATCGCACAGTTGGGTCTGAGTGTGTGCGAGGGTGTCTCTCTCGAGACGCAGTTGTGTTGTTGGTGATCAACATTTTCGTAGAACAGTATTCGCACTGTTAGAACGTAACCTGTTAGCATTCTCGAAAGAAAGCGCTGGGTAGCATGTTAAACTTACTCATTGCTAAACGGTAACGATCACTTGATTGTTTTGCATTATCTGCTATACATTTGTATAGTTCGAGTACAGTTACCTGTATGTCGTGTTAACTTTACACGTGACTTGGTTGAAATCAGGGTGGTCGGGAGATGTTTTTTTGCGCAAATATGGTATTTTCAAGAGCCTTAGAAATCGATGCTAATATAAACATACTGTCTCAATTGATTAAATTTTTTGTTAGTATTGCCATCGCGGAAGCACATGTTTGTCTCTAATATTGCAAGAATTGTTTAATTATCTCATGGTTTACTTCGATTTAGTTATTAAAAAAAAGTGTGCGAAATATGATCCTCAACAACAATAAGACAAGCTAATGACAAGATTATGGTGGTCGGTCGTATTGCGGTTCGCCACTTCATTTTTTTGACTTAGTAAAAACGCTACCCACTGTCGCTCTTGTTTCCAAGGTTACATCCATGAGCTACCGCTACATTTGTATTGTTCGAATTACATATCAAAACGTTTCAAGTCTACTGCTTAATAAACTTACCAAATAGCAAAATCTTTTTGAGTTCATTGGTTTTTACTGATTATTTAATCAGGTGCAGATGACCGTAATGAAAATATTTACACTTGATCGTGATGCGCAAGCGATAGGTCAATACTATATAACAATTATGGTCTTAAATAATATTTATAATGTTCAGTTTAAGCTTATCAGCGCTTATCCCGCATATCATGTTAATTATGTGCATTAAGCTACATACTCTGGTGATAATGAAATAAAAGTACTAAAACGTAGTTATCGTTATTGTTGGGCCATATGTATTACAGTAGAGGTGGTAGAAAAAACAGTTGTAATTTCGACTTGAAGATTCTTACTAGATAAATCTAACATAGAGGAAACATTGATCAATTCATAATCTTAACATTTTAAAACAGTTTTACCCCATTCTAATAGGATTTTATTTGTGTACTAAAATCCTGCTGTTTCTATATGATATGCTTATGCTGATTGCAGAAGAGGCAGTGTTAACACCAGAGGAAGCAGCTATACCAGTCGACGTCACAATCCGGATGGCAAAACTGCCCCCTAAGGTACCGCGGGCTTCGCACACTCTTAAGGTTCAGCGCACTGCTAACGGCAACTACGATCTCCACGAGGAGGGTCTATTCCACGGCAGAGTGTTGCCTGTGAAGAAGTGGCTGGGGGTTGTGCATGCTCCGAAGGCCGCAACACCCCTGGCCCTCGGGGCCAACAGAAAGATCACACCGATTGCCCCTACCTTGCATCATTCAAAATGCAAAGTGGAATTTAATGTTAGAGGTATGTTTATATTCAAAGACGTCATATGCTTGTGATAGAGCTAACGTGATAACCGATATTTTTAGGGTCTGCAGACGGGCCACGTGTTGATGGCACAGGGCGAGTCGACAGCAGCTAAGATGAAGACCCCGAAAGCGGTGGTCAAAGGAAGCGGTGGTCATGGCGACTCCGGCGTGAGCGCGGCAGCATCTGCCGCAATCGCCAGTACGTCTCATGCCTTGCCTGTAAAAGTCTCGCAACTCGGCAAGCTGCAACAGGCCATTAAAGGGGACAGCGCGATGTTGGCCAAGGTTGCAAAGCAAGTTGACCAGCCCGCTGTCGCGAAGGTCGATCACAATCAAGTTGTCGACAAGGTTGCGCCTGTCGACGGCGGAAATGTCGGCACTACCGCCAAACCGGTTGGCAAGCCTGACCGATCAAACGATGTGGATGACAACTTCATAGAACAGACCCGGGACCTTGTTGACGGTAAGTTCGTGTGCTTGTGTGAGTGTTCCTTGTGTTGAGAGGTGACGCGAACCTGTTCTTGCTTGATCTTACAGCACTGCCCAAGGACATCGTGCGAGCGCTCACCAATGGCGATGTGTTAACTGCCCAGCAACGCCAGCGTTTCATCGACAAGATCACAATGGACATTATGAAAGCGAAGGGAGTGCCGCAGCCAAAACAGATTCAGGAGATCGCCCTCCAAGTAGCAAACATGTATCCAAGAAGTCTCGTGATCCTACCGGAAGGAAAGCGGAAGAGCAACCTACGCCGGAAGCGGGGCGAAACCGATGATGGCAGCGAACACACTGTTGCAAAGAAACCTCGATTTTCACAGGTATTACTGAAGAACAGTTTCTTTAAATCTAGGCGCGAGGAGGGACAATTCTTAAATTGAATGAAGTAAGACAAGCAGGCTTCAGCATTACGGTGATTGGCTATAGCATTAACCATGACTAAAGAATGAGGAGATAGGAATCATGATTCATACTTTACCTGTTTTCTATAGAGTTGTTCCACTGCAACGTAAGCTAAATATGACAGATGTGTTGGTCCTATGCCAGGTAACCATTTTTTTCTACATTTTGCGAACGCATTTGTCCGAACCAAAGTCGAAGTAAGAAACAATTTTATAACATTTCCTTTGCTTTGTCTTGTTTGCAGAGTGGCGCTTTGTCATCAACGCAATCTTCGCCCGTGGGAGGCATTCACCAAGTGGCTAACGCAGGCAAGACACCTGTGAAAGCGGCCGCTACCTCCATGTCTGCAGACGATACTCCCGCGCCCAAACGAAGGGGTCGGCCGCCTAAAAATCCTCAAGGTACGCCAGGCGCTGCAGCTGCTTCCCCATCTTCTACTGTGTCCGGTAGTCCTGCCGTCGCGTCTAAGAGCCCTGCACCTGTCTCTAAACTCGTGTCTGCCTGCAAAAGTTCTATCACCAGTCCTAAGTACCCTGTCACTGCTTGCAAGAGCCCTGTAATTTCTTCTAAAGGTCTTACTGTCGCTTCTAAAAGTCCTGCAATAGCCACTAAAAGTACTGTATCGGTCCAAGGAGCTCCTATGGCCGCGTTAGTAAATGCGGCCGTAGCCTCTAAAGGTCTCATAGTCGCTTCTAAAAGTCCTGCCAGCGTTTCTAATATCTCTATAACTGTCAAACCTTCTATTACTATCGCTACTACGAAAACACTTGTAATAGCCTCTAAGAGTCCTGCTATATCGAAAGTATCCCCCGATATAGCTCCTGAATTATTGCCAAAAGCACACAACATCATAACGCAGGCCAGTGTATCCCCAAAAGCCACAAAGAGTAGTCCTGTTAAGGAGACAGCGAAAACCTACAAAAGCAGTCCGGTTAGGGATAACACACAAGCGCCGAAGGCATCGATAGCGCCTGGAAGTCCACGAAAGGGTATTCCAGGTAGGATCGAATTTAGTGTAATTAACACATGAACCAACCAACCCTGAAATAGTTAGATGCTGGCGGTCAAGTCAATATGCTACGTCCCGGTAACTAGGAATGGAGGTGCTGCATGTGTTGATTTCGGTACTAATGAACTTCCATGTTTTTTTGGAATTCCTTTTACTCACAGAAACATCAACAACTAGTCAGCCGTCGCCGTCGATGCCCCAGGCTTCGTCGCCCCGAAAAGTGAATGGTGGAGCAACTTCGCCCGCCATTGTAGCTGGACTAACACCTGTGGCAAAAAAACGCGGCAGACCTAAGAAGGAGGCAACCATTCCTACAGCGACCGTCGCATCAGCCGAGGAGGTAAGCATGATGAAGCCGCTCAAGAAACGACCCCTCGTTCAACAACAGCACCAGCACAACGCTTTCGAAGAGCAAAAGACTCACACACAACCACAGACACAAGCCCCAGGATCAGGAGGTCAGACAAACTGTGGGGAATTATCTGCTACAAATCAATCTACATCCACCCTTGATGAATAGAAGACAAGATTGGCTATTTGTGTGCAAGGGTTATAAGTGTAGGGACGAGTGAATTCGTGGAAAGCTAAGTATTCAGCCGAGGGTGCTTAGAGAAACATTCGGGTCCGAAGAAGGAACCCACCAAGGACAGCGTACACATTCCGCTGATATTTAATATAACACGATGGAACTGTTCAGGTCTTTTCATCCCCAAATATATGCCTCGTATGTGACAGCTGTGTGCAGTCATACAATCAACTGCTTGTAGGTGTTCATGTGAAACAATTTATTCAATGTGCGATAAATTTGACAAAGTGGGATTATAGATTAATTCGGATGATCTATGGTAGCAAAGATTACCAATTTATACTGGTAAAAGTCAGGAAAACAACTGTAAACGTCCGCATCGAAAATTGCTCAGCGACTCTTAGGTTTGGAAGCGACGATCTAATTTCGCGTAAGCAATAAGGTAAATCTGCTTTGACCAAGTAGCGCTTCTTTTAGTATTCCCGTAAGTTACCATGATACCGACTATTCGTTAAAATTAGGCAAATGTGCATATCGTACATTTCCTGTTTCTGACATATTTGTAGATGGCATTTTAAATGGGGTTAGTGCATTCATAAGTTTGACCCAAAGGCACTTTTTTTTGCTGTTATAGCTTTGATACAGCAAATAGTTTGTTTCAGTTGGGAAATGACACTCGGCACAGGGGCGCCTTCCTCTGCCACAACTACTGGTCCTTCTAAAACTAGATGTTTGCCTAGATGAAGCTTTATAGAACGCTTTATACACGAGTCGTTCTCGAGGCAGTCACGGTTTTGCTGAAGAACAGAGCTGCCACAGTACCGTTGCAGAAACTGCCCCATGTCGATTCAGTTACACTTGTATCACTGCCACTTGTGTGCAAGTTTTAGCTTCAGCAAAGACCGTGTTTATCTTCCATACGCCGAAACGTGCTCGTTTGTGTACGTTGGCCTATTCTATATGTTCTCTTTTAAACAGCAAAGTAAATTGATCAAGTTTTCATGTCCGTTAAAGCTGCGCGCCTCCATGGCATTGGACATGCGTTGATTTAATTGAAAAATACAGGCTCAAATGACACGGGCTGGTGGAACACGGCGTACCTACGGTTGGGAACTTGGTGGCTGCTAATTCAAAACTAGAAGCCACTCAGCTTTTGCCCTGTAATAGTTCAAGCAGATGGAACTATTTCATAATATTAGTTAACGAATCTTACTTCTAGTTAAGATTTTCGTTATAAAGCGATTAACTATTACAACCCATTAAACGATATTTGTCGGTTGAGGTTGATAGCCATAGGGGGACAGTGTGAAGTATGATGTATGATAACAGGCAAAATACGCGTAAGCTTACCGGACTATGAATAACGTTTTGAAAAAAATATATGCGTTTTTGTTCCCAATCAGTTTAAGTATATAGACTCCATTATATACTTTAAAGACATGTTTTGCGCAAGACGTAAGCGGTACACGTTGTATGCATAAGCATAAATACCGTAAGCGGCATTTATTGGCTATCCGCCACTCACTGATGTTTGATGCCGCCGGTTACGCCATCATCATTATTATTTTTAATATTTTAGGCGCTCTCTTGACACGAACGTTTATCGTAGTTGAGAAAAAGCTCTGCTAAACAATCAGGGCCGAAGCTATAACAGACAATATCCCAGTATAATATGAGCCTCAGTAAATATCGTGACATTGTAGATACAACCTAACGTGAACAAGATAATTGAAGGACAACATGGCCGATCTATATGTGACATAATCGCGAATAAGAAATACAGATTGGTTAGTACAGACAATAAATACCGTGAACCGAGTCACATGAAGACATGAAAAGGAGGGAGAGCGAGAGAGAGAAAGAGTATTGTTGATTCTGTACTCGTAACCCAAAGTGGTGGCGGTCTAATCTTCTTCATGTAAGAAAAACGAGTCTGATGGAAGAGCGAATGGCTATACCTCTATGTAAATCAAGTGAATAAACTATTTTTAATGCAATGTAAACCTAGAATATTTCTCTGCAGATGGGTTGAGTAGTTGATTAAGTACATTTAGTAGAACGTTGACTGTTCTTAATATATGTTAGTATTTTGGATATCATTCAGGTACACCGTAGAGGGAACATGTGTCAGGCCAAGTAACATTTATGTAGTGGCCGAATAATATCTAATATAATTTTCAACTAGCATATTAGCTTTTCGGTAAATAAATAAAGGAGAAACTATACCTAAAAACCTAATGACTAGCTTAAACATGCAAATTTGTGAAAATCAGCTCCTATTACAGTGTCAAATTTTACCTGAATTCGAACTCAATTGGGAAGTCAATTTAAGCTGCCAACCACCATACTGAGTGTGGAAGAACAATTGCATTTCGCACACACTCAAAATCATCTTTTTGAAGTCCCCTGGCAGCTTTTATGTTCGATATAGAGTAGATCACAGGATTGTTTCTCAGCCAGTAGCGCTTTACATATGAGAGTCTCAAGAACAAACAACAAACACAACCATGTCCTTCATAAGTTGATATAATAAGTATAATACAACAACTAGAAATAACGCGAGTGAAAAGTTGGAAACGTTCCTAAGAGCGAAGCGTTGTTGATGCTATATGTCAAGGCTTCGACAGGCATATATGTAGATAAAACGAAAAAATCTGATAGGTCATCCGTAGATACGCAAGGACAATAGGGATTTATAGGGCTGCCCTGTTTTTGTCGAGCACCACAGCTGCCATCACGGCCACCTCCACTGCCACGAACTTTTCCCAGTGGCTGTCACTGCGTGCCGACTATGGCACCGCCTTTCTCTATTAAAACGCTACTGCAAAGCCAAGGTATGCAGCTGTTAATGGCGATATCTCTGTTGAACCGGACCAATGCACATGATTGCACGACGACTGCTTGTGGCTGCTATGCCTGGGGACCATTGTGGCCGCCAATATACTCCTGACGTGTAGTCTTTAGTTTATAACCTTCTGAGTATGCATAATTTCTTCCACTTTAGTAAACCGCTAAATGACAGGTTGTCTAGTGCTCATGCCTTAGCAAGCGTTCCTTAAATATCCCAAAAGCCTGGTTTAGTTCGTACCGACATAATGTGAAGTTGTTTTCGAATTAAAATTTCCGTTTCGTTTTTTTACACTTTTTTCACAACTAATGCAACTCGAGTGTGTTTGGTCGCGATTAGTGTTCGGCGATATGTTTGAGTGTGGCTGTTGTTACTTGAAAGCAAAATGGAAGTGGATCTGTTCATTGTGATTGACAACTGCTATGGCGGTAACGAGCAAGGCTTAGAGTCCATATAGATTTTCAATACCCAGTATGTATGAAACACGATAAGTCATGAACGATTGCCGAACGAATTCGGCAAGAAATTAAACACGCCTTTTAAACCAGTAAATGCCTGGTAATATACATCTCTCAAAATCCTACAATATCAGTGTCATAAACACAGCTTTTTACGGCGAATATTTACAGTTAACCTAATGCGACTTCCTGCATATACTTTTTGCTTTTAGACCTGTCCATATTAATGTCTGTTTATCGTTCCGAATGTGTGGATTATATAATACTTTTTACCTACTGTAATTGTGAAAAAAGTAATGATAATGACAAACGGATGATTCATCACGGCAATGGTATTATTGAGATTATGTTCGTTATGTTTAAATAATTTAATCACATAATTTTTAGTTTAATTTTTTTCACGATCATTGCAGTGGCCATGTATTGTATTGGGTGGTTGCGATCGAATCTTTTTTATAATTTATATTATAAATAATAATTATATTGTGATGATTGTCGCATTGTTCTTGTGATTATTGCTGTTGTTGTTGATTGCGTTTGATTTGCGTTGTTATTTCTCTCTGTCGTTCTCTTTATCTTGCTCTCGACCCCGAACTTGTGTTTCTATCCACCAACTGCGATCGTGTCTGCCCCATTCCCCAATATTCTGTTCGGCATCCCGTCTTTACCCGGCAGCTCTCAATGACTCCTGATGCACAAAAGGCGTGGCTTCGGGAGGACCTGCAACGGCCGGCGGAGGAGCAGGACAGGGCCAAGCAGGAACGCCTCCTGCATAATTGTTACGATCTACTATACCGGGAGATGGCCGAGAAAAACTATGACGTCAAATACATCACCGCCCAATGGCCAGCACTTCGGGAGCCACTCCACGTTCTCAGTATCTTCAAGTCAGTAGCACCAGTATTCATTTATTCAGCTTTAATGTAATATCTTTTATATATATATATATATCTCACTCCCTACTTTATCTTCACTCTCACTGATGAAAGGTGACTGTGCGCTTACGTTGAGAATTGTTACATCTTTGATCATCGAAGCGTTGAACTTGCAGTCGTTTAGTTGTTCTTCGCTACCTTGATATCGCCTACCGACTGATTGTATGATCAGTCTTCGATAACTGTCAATATTTTCGGTGTATTGGAACTACTTCGGCGTCTTACTTTTGTTCAATACAGACAATTTTAGTATCTCTAAAGTCGTTGAGTTGCCATATACGACTACTAACCATATCGGATAGCGTCTGATGATACTCATAAGTATATATATATATAGAACTATCATAATAGTTATTAAAACTGTATTGAACTGCCTGGTTCCTTGGTGATGTTCCTACTGATACATAGTTTCAATATACCTTTCTAAAACTTAGATTTAGATACGTGTGTGAGAACACCTCTTACGTATCGCGCCGTAGAACTTGTATTCGAGGTCTGATGCGTGTGTATGACCTTTGGGTACTAAACTATGGATTTCTCTAGATGTGTATGTCAATCAGTAGAATTCAGCGTACAGTGTACTTATTATGGATGTACATGGAAATTATCTGTAGCAAGTTGTACGTTGAACGTAAAGGCTAAACAGAAAGTCGTAAGTAAATTAGTTGCATGTCGATTTTATTATGAAGGCTGGTAGTGCAAGCGTTTTTATCAAGCCCTAGAAGGAGAAATCTCCAATTTTGATAACAGCAGTAGAGCAATTAATAATAGGTTAATAAAAACCATGTTTATAACTTTATAGAATGTTATAAACATGGTTAAACGGTTTTACCATGACCAAGAAATTTGATAAGCTTTGTCTGGACGTTAATTTTCTAAAAGAAACGTTAATTTTCTTATTAATTAGCTTTTATATCAAAAACTGATTCCGTGCTAAAGGAATCCAAGCCTACTTTAATTTCAGTTAAAACTAGTGAGTGAATTTAAATGAAAAAAAACAGTAGTTTTTTCGATATCGAGCCTAAAGTGTACAACAGATTTCTTCCTCTGTGCCTTTTAGTTTAAAATAAGGCGCGATAAACGATAGCTAATCGAAGCACGTTTTGTTCTATTAGGTTTTCTTTATTTTTAAGCATTCTCATAAGTTGATGGAATACCGCTTAATAAAACTGATTGTATTTCTATGTTGGCTTGTACTTGTAGGCGCCTGAAGAAAGTCCATGGAGAATTTCAAAAACAAATGCGACGGGATGCCCCTAAACTTGTCACGTTCCTGCACGAGCGAGTTACTTCAGAGGAAGGTGCTGAATGGTCACTGGCGATCTCACAAGCCAAACCCGGGCCGCGTTACCACCTGCCTGAGGAAGTAGGCGTTATGCCGTTGCTTGCACTGAACTTTGACGAAGACTTTGGTCTGCTCTTCAAACTAGTCCCGGTAACTATTTATACGAAATCTATTACTGCGGTGTTTGTGTCTAGCAAAATATTTTTTCCTTATAACGCGCAGTAGCATTGAAAGCATGCCTCCTGAATGACAACCATCGTCCGTATTTTTTCAAATGCGGCTAACATTAGGTAGTTATATTTACTACCATACCGAATACAAGTAACAGTGTGCAGTAAACAGAATTCTTTCTTTATTTTGTGTTCGCATTATCCGCCTTGCCACAGAACGAAGCTGCACTGCAAAAGTTGTTGCCCGAACTGGCCGTATCGCAGCCCATGATCATTGGAGTTGGTTCATCAATTTTCTCGTGCGAGTACCGAGTCATTGTGGAGCGACAACAGTTTTTTACGCCGCCACCAACGACGTTCCTTGATGCTCTCGAATGGGTGTATGCCGCCTATTTCGTTTTCAACTTTGCTTATCCTCGCGAGCTGAGTAACACCCTTGAATATGTCCAACGTTATTATGTTGGTTACAACCCCCATATCAAAATGGTGACACTCGCCAATAGCCGACCGAAGATTGCGAATTTCCTCAAGAAAATGAAGGACTTCGAGCGATTAGACTGGAACGCGAATAATATTCGGGTTAGAACAACACGGAGAGATTTGTATTTTTATTATATCTATTTAATGCTTAAAAGATGCCCAGTGTATACATTTAACAGTGCTTTAGGTTATATACTTGTCAATCACCCACTCTAGAGTTCATTGTGCTTGCTAAATGTTGATATATATATATATCAACACTTAGCATAGTTGACCTGCGTAAAATATCATATGAGTCTTAGGTTTAACAAAACGTATCGATTTGCTAGTGTGCCTTTATTGGCTTGGGGTGTGTTTAGTCGATTGCGTCACATGTTTTCCCTTTCGCATTCAACTGTCGAATCTGTTGTACTTATGGGTAAGCTCTTCCTTGTTAATTGTATATCAATATACTTCATATGTGCTTTGTCATACTGTAGGCGAACTCACCTGGCGTCCCTTCTGATTTCGAACGTGAGTCCAACTCAGAGGACGATCAGGAAGTTGACGAAGGAGCCAAGCCGGAGGCAATGAACGTGAACGGTGAATCTGCACATAAGATTAATAACGACGAGAATATGGATGATGCCGCTGGAGACGGTCATAATCTCCACAGCAGGCTGCAAACAGATGAAGTCGAACAGCTCATCCAAGCAGCACCTCAGGACCAAGCTGAGCATTTAGTTAACCCGTCAACATCGTCGCGTCCGGTATTCGCCGCTGACTCCGCAACAGCCACTAACTACAGTAGCTCTAGCAGTATTCCGCAGACATCACCTAACGATGGAAGCGGTTTCACCAAGTCCTGAAGATCACTTTTATACAGAGCAAACCTGTCATTGTTGACCGCTCGCACGGTTCTAACGGCGGCCAGCCCACACTTCAAAAGGATAAAGAGCTATGGAGAGCAGGACAGGGCCAAACAACAAAATAATAATTATAGGATCATAAAAAAAGTCGGTTAACTTAAATGCGTACGAGACCAAATCTATGCGACTTGTACACGGCGACCCACCACACTGTCAGTAACATGATTCATTCAGGCTGACGTCTTTTTGCCTTATTAGATTTATGAGACGAATCTTTTTCAACCGTTACTGACGTAAATAACATGGCCGCTGCGGCGACATGACGTTTTCAGTTGGACAGCTCGACCTTGTCTATTGAGGTAACTACAGGGATTCACTTTGTAAAGTATTAAGCCAAGAGATGTATCGAGAGAGAGAAAGTGGGTCGCTTAGCTGTGTTGTGCAATGTTCGTAGTACTGAGAAAAGCATTTTGACCATGCTGAGAGATTCGACCGGCATAGCGTAGCAAGAAACCTAACCAAAAAAAGGCAAACATGAGAAGGCTGCAAGTCAGTATCACAGGCTGGGATGGATGTTGTGTCACACCAATATAGAAAAGTCGAGAGGGACGATCAGTTAATTTTATGTCATATCTATGAATGGTGGCGTTTGTGTTTGTATGTACCAGAACGAACCTATAGAAAATTAAGTATTGGATCGATGTACCACTGAGCGCAGTTGTGTGTAAATCGTTGCGAAAATGATGAATATATCTGAGCATGTGTGGACAACATCTGTACGCTGTGCATAGAGATTAGGTCGCATGGCATTTTATGCTTGTAGAAAGACAATGATGTCTCTGTTGATTTAATTGCGACGACAAAAACCGATTAAAAATATAAGCTAAGACCAGAGAGACCGGGAGAAGGCGCGAGAGCGAAGAGTTAAAATACACGTCGGTAAGAGAAAATTTATGTGAATACGTCGAAAATTGGGTCTATCGGAGATGATCAAGTTATCACATTGTCCACGTAGAAACATAAGCATTCATAAACATAGATATTGCATATACGTATTCATTAATAGCACGCGCAAGTAAAATATCATCATGACCTAAGGAGAGAATGTCTGTCAGCACATCTCGTTAATATTTGTAAATATATAGTGCTTCAACTTAACGCCTACCTTACACGTGCTTTGTAGTCTCTTGTGTTATTTGTCTCCATTTGGGTAATCCCCGCTCACTATACGTAACGAACAATGTAAAAGCCTGATTCAAAAAAGTCTTAAGATGAAGCCCATCAAAGTGCGCCAAAATCATAACCATGTAATACTATTGATTGTGTATTTTCCAATTTCATTCTCAACGAACGTATTTTAGACATAAACCCCGCAACGTAGTTGAAATCTGTTAATTACAAATTCCAGCTTCCCGAGCTCTGGCTTACATGATAATCCGGTAATCCAGAAGTGTGGTGTCAAATCTGGAGCAAACCAGTCTTCTTTTTACAAGAACTTGAAAAAACCTTATCGATGGCTAAGTGTTGCTATTGTTGCATACTTATATGGTTCCACTCTGAGATTACGTGGTATCACGCGTAATAGTTTGTAAACGAAAAACAAAATACAGAAATATGATAGGTGAATAAAAGCAACTAGTTGGACTATAGTTAATAAGGGGGTGTAACCTTGTAAATCGGACTGTGCGTTACAAATACATTAATATATATAATTGTTCCTATAATTTGATAGTGGTCAAAAAAGGAAAATTGTTGTTGTAACTATTGTGTACTATGGAATGGTTTTGAGATATCAATAGAAAAGAAAGATCTATAATACAAGAGAGTTGCCGTCTCGCTAGTAATAGCCACAGGCGGAAAAAGCACAAAAGCAGGAACAACTGAATGAATCAAAGACGTAAGGAAGCGCATACATTTATATACAATGATACATATATACATTCAGAAGTTAAGCAATTAATATTATAATTTCTATTATTATATACAAGCACACTATAAAACATCATCTAAAAGGAAGAATATTATGAAACATTCTTCTTCGGAGTCACTATACAATACATAGACATATAAATAGATAGTGCGAAGGATATTATATTCGATAATTATATTATCGATGAAGCTATATTCCTAAAATAATAAACCGTATGTGCAAATATATGGTGTTTTCGAACGGCGTCTAGAAGGCGGAGTTGGTCCGCAATTTCTCCTCGCTCGAAGCACAAATTATTCTGTGCACCTTTCAGAGAAATTGAAAAAAGGAACCTTCAATTTGGACTGAAAAAAGATTTGCATTTGATTCATTAACACTTGGATTCGTTAAAGATATGTCCAGCACTTTATCATATTACGAAATTATCGACAGATGAATAGTCCTACTTTTTGGTATACAGAAAAGTAGCTTCGCACAGATACGAGACTACTCGACTATCGATCTCTTTGATTTACTGTCACTTCATTCGCAGTGTTCATGTAGAGACAAGAAATTTTCAAAAAGAAAAAAACAAAGAGAAAGGACATTACCGATGTATGTATTAGGTTGATACATAAGTAGTGTCCGTCTTCGTTTATTGCTTCCCGCTTCCTGCTTTTAATTGACTAATAGCCCATTTTATACCGTTGGAAAATCCCTTTTAGACTATTGTTATCGGTTTGTCCAAATCACAAAATGTTTCCTTGAGACTCCAAAAACGGAGTGTCAGGTGGCGAAATAGCATTTTCGATTGACCCTTGTTATTTGTTCTTCACTTAGGCTAAAACGTTTCTAAAATGACTTAGGATAGGTATGGCATTTTCGACAATATAGTAGCTGTTATAAAACAATTTAGCTGAGTTCTGAAATAATACGTTTTGTCCAAACTTTACTCGTCAAATTGGGTTAGGATCGTATGGAGCTATTTTGAAAGAAAATCATTTTTAAATAGTCAACACTTCCTACCTATACGGTCCGTGAGCGGAACAAATACTTCAGATTGCCTTCGCAGCTTTTTGATATTGGAGAAAATGGAAAAAAAGCTTTTGTGTCAAATGCAGTGCCGTTTGAAGCAAGGAAAAAATCATGATCTGGACAAAATGATCTCGACAACAGTCCTGTATAGCACGAAAATAGTTTTATAACGCCATATAGAACTTGAATACCAGCAGCGGGAGCAATCAACAAATCGGATATGTATACTAAAATACTTAATGGGTAAATCAATAAAAGGCAGTATCGTATTATCTTTGTATAAATAAAAGTGCTTTTTACTTCGCAGCCACAGAAGGCACCGATACGCCCTATTACTGTATAAACTGAAACATTTTTGTTTCATATAAAAAAAAGGCCGGAAATGAACTACGCTCAATTTCAACGTTCGATAACAAACGACTTTATAAGTCTATAAGTACATCCAGCACTTTTCAAATTTTTTTACATAACTGTTACTTGTATATTTTTGTATTAAAGGGTATCGCGACTGCTTAACGCACGTCACATATAAGATTTCTACAAATGTTAGGCTGCGCATAAAGGAACAATACATCAGAAATCGGGATACATTAGATCCATAGTTAAGATGTTTGATGCATTAAACAAAAACGAGATTGGCGTTTGTTCTAGACTGATGCGGTAGCTCTTAACTTTTTTTAGTCCGGAATATGCTGAAACTCCGACCCAGTAAAACTTACATAGCGATAGACTGGAAAGATTCAAATCCTGAAAGGAGGATATAATATGAGTAAAACTTCTATGTGCGGAATAGGTGCCAGCTAAATACAATTTGTTTTAAGAGAAACATTGGTCTTCACTTTATATATTTATTGTTTCCTAATAATGATCGCTTAACTCGTGGTAGAATGTTTTACGTTCATTTTGCCATTTGTATTTGTTTCATTTTATAAGAACTTTTTCGTCCCTTTACTTCTTAAAATTAAAATACGACTCCACCAGTAGAAGCCAAATAATTTTATTGAAGCATATAAGAACATACATATCTGTGAAAAATACAACTTTCTCTCATACATCAAATGGGTCCTACTTGAATAAAGTTTTTCTAAAATATTGAAGCTGCTGAATGCTTTGCCTTATATCTTCGTATGCACGATGAGCCTTCTTTATTTTAGGTTCATTCTCAGACACATCTGGATACCATCTGAAATTAAATTGGTAGCAATTACTGAGCAGTTTTTTTATACATACGCAGGCACAAGCGCGTAATGTATCCAAGAAGGTATAGGTTTTTATAAAAAAAACGTATATTAAAAGCGAGGTAGAACTCCAATAACGTAAAAATCCACTTAAATAGAGAAACAGATATTGTACTAGACAACCGACATATGCATACATTTGTTTTTCGTTATATGGATCTGTCAACATCGTTGTGACAAAGAAAATTACATATTGATGCTTTTTATGCCGACAATGTAAAAGATTAATTGACACAGTAAAAAAAAATTTGAAAATAGTACATTTTATTAGACGGTCGATACATATATTTTGTTGTTACACGGATTTAACGTCATCGCAATGTAAAAAATACATTTGTAAAAAGTTATATATTACATCCTTGTTTGCGTTTGCATAACGTACCTTTTACAGAGTTCTCTGATGCTGCTAACATCGATGATGCGGTAATGGAGATGCTCGTAAACCTTCGGCATATAACGTCGAATAAATTGGCGGTCCGCGTGAACACTATTGCCTCCTAGTGGTACCTATAAACGCAGATACAAGCAGATGCCGTAGAGATCATCAAGATGTTGAGTTGGGTTCCCAATAAAAATAACGAAAATTCGATGTTCACTACCTCACTAAGATTAGTGAAGGTATCTAAATAATACGAAGGATAAAGGGAATAAAAACTAGAAAATGAATGATTAATTATTAAGCGCTCCTGGGACAAAGAGGGCATTAAATGTGTGAGTAAATGAACCGTCTTTTTTTCTTATAATTTTCTTGTAATCTTTATTATTCTCACAATTTATCTTAAATTTCTTATGCTATTTTCTCTATGCAAACATGCACACCTTTTTTGGAGTTGTGTGCCTTTGGAGAAAAACCAGGACCGTGTCTTCGGCTTCCTTTAAAGAGATTTTACTTTTAAGGCAAGCTTCCGTCAAACCCGATGCTCCATGGTTTTGCTTGCACCAATCATCCATCGCTGAGATGTCCAAGAAAATAAAGTAATTTACAGTTACTTTTATGTCATTGCTTTTTCCTTTTGAAATATCTATAACGCTTAATGTGTCTTATTATGTCTGGAAGTATTTACATTAGTAAATATCCCATAACCGCATACGATCAAAACTGATTTCACTAATTTGTAAAACGAAAGCTGTTAGTATCGATTTGGACGGACCATTTAGAACGTATTCAGGTTGATGCAAAATGATCTGCTCAATTCTTGCCACTTCGTTCAGGTCCTTATCGGTGACGACGCACGATATCTCCATTATGGTGTCCCTATCTGGATCCAAACCTAATTGACAAAACAAGAAAGTAATGGAAGCGAATCTTTTAAGAACGCTAATGGCAAACATTTTGAAAAAAGGATTTTTTTTTAAATTTTTTGACAAAATAGCAAAATTGATGTAAACGCTAACTCAAAATTAAACAAACGTTGAATATTATATAAATCAGATTATGCCTTGAAAAAATCGCCCGAAGGGTTCATGAATAAAAACCACTGCTACTGCTAGCTCGATGAGTCTTTCACCCCAAACCGGACGGGGGTACAAATCTTACTCATTTGGTGGGGTACCTCACAGGTTCTGATCCGGATAGCTGGTCCAGACAGAAATTTCATGCGCGACTCCTTATATTTTTTTTATTCTTTCTACTAACCGGGTATGTTATCTACTATTTCAGTTATACCAACATTCATGAAAATGATTGTGTGCTACTACTTAATATTAACTTTCTGCAACAATCGATATTAAAACCACGTATCATAGAAATTATCAATTACTGAAAAAAGACTAAGTCGTTAATGTCCTAAGTAAATTTTCTCCACAGGCATTACTAGAGCCGTAAACGGTTCTCTTCATGTGCAGGATAACAGACTTAAATGAGAGTGGAATTTGCATTTTTACAACATACCCGTCATTTCCATATCTATCCAACAGATCCTTTGGTCGATGTCCGACGGCATTATCTTGTCATTTGGTGTATTGAAGTTCATTGGTCCAGCTCTGTAAGTGGGCGTTTGGATTGAATTAAATACGTTTTTAATATTTAGCGCAAATTGACTGGCGGAGCAAATGCTCAAACAAATATACGGGTGTGTACTCCTGGCTTCCAAAAGTAGTTTAAGTCTATAAATTCAAACAAAAACCGTTTGTTTATCTTAAGGCTCACAGTAACTAAAAATATTATTAGATATAGAGAATAAATGAATCGCAAATTTATGGGAACAATGTCCCCAGTTTGGGTACTCAAAGTCTAAAACAGCAATGCTGCATTACCCTAATTAGTTTCGTTTTTATTCGTTATCATGGTTCAACTGCCATAGAGTGCAATCGAATGCTGCATACAAAGCATGCAAAATTTTACGTATATGTTTTTATTCCCTTCAAAACGACTTTCTAATTCAATACGATCACCGCGTTGCTGTGCTTACCTGAGTTGTTGGACGCGTGATACAAACGAGATGGCTTTCTTACAGACGAACAAATTATTCTGCTTAAACTTTTCAATGAACCCCGATCGAAGAAAGCTAGCACATTTTGCTCCAAGTGATAGCGCAACCCGGCAAATCACCATGCCTTTCTCATTCTGTCTTTCCTATCTGCTTTTTATAAAGAACCATCAATAGCACAGCGATACATTTGGGAACTTACACCTGGTCCCGTTAGTAGAACCAACAGAAAAGAAAATCTGACTTCTACGATCAAAACCTTCACCGATTTCCGCTATCTACAAACCTACCACAACGCATCTCGTTTAATTTCCATATGATAACCAGCGCATCCATTCTAAGCTATGCATCGCTGTGGGTTCGATTCATTGTTTCGAAATCCGGCGCGCCCCTTTCTCACACGTCGAATGAGGATGAGGACTGCATCGCTGCTAGATGCCGTGTGCTAACACTATAATGGTGGCCATTGCTACCCAATCGAAATCAACGACGGCGATAGCAACTGTTGTTTTGTTGTTGTCAGCTGTCGACATTGTGTTCGTCTGCTAGCTCCGCCGCTGCCGCCGCAGACAGTCCTTCCCGGCGTGCCTGATAGATGCTCGATCTGCAGCCGCTCCGCGTTTTGTCTCTCTCGCTGTTTGTTACTGTAGCTACTTACAAGAGTCTCGCTGTTTTCTGCTTACAAGTCTGCTCGGAGCGTATGACGACGCGATCCTGGTGCTATTTCCGTGCTAGTTACTTTTGGGATAGCAGCGCGCGCTGTGTATGCTTGTGAGAGTGGTAGAGCGTTAGTGTCGCTTCAACAGAAGCGGCATTGCTGGCGGTTGTTGGCGGATGCTGCTGCTACCTACGCCACACATTGGACCCGTCCCTACAACCGCTGCAGGCTGGCGCAGTTGCCGCTACAGTTGTGGCATCTTTAGCTGCTGCCCCTGCTACCATTGGCGCTGCCATCCGTTGCTACCGCCAATCATCGTCGCTGCGCTGGTGTGTGCGCTCATAGTCGTCGTCGTCTTCGTCGCATCTTCGGGCGCCCCCTTTTACACTGCCTGACTGACTGCCTCTGTCTGTCTAGAGCAGCAGCAGCAGCAGCGACAGTTGCTGGAGTTGTTGCCAGCGATGTGTATCTACCGAGCAAGTGCGTTTCTCTCGTAGCAGCAGAAGCAACAGGAGTCAAGCTACTCTCGGTCGTCGTTGTTTGTGTATACGTATGTATGTAAACATCAGACAGAATGATGGATAAATTGCTGCCAGCGAGAAAAAGTCAATCCGTTTTCGTGAGTTGGATGTAGCTCGTGAGTTGAGTTTGATTTGGCGAAAGTTTTGTCCAGTGCTTCCTCTCACAAAAGCATTACTTAATATTACCACAGCTTGGAGTACTTGGCAAAGTGTAGCAGTGGATGTTGTTGTGGTGATGGTGGTGGCGGTGCAAACTTTTTCGTCGTTAAGAAATTTTGTACACTGTAACAGAATTTCGATTTTGTTTTCCTGCGAGCGTGTGAAGGCGTCAACCAGCACCCAGTCAAAAGATAGGTAAGTTTTGCTTTGTCCCAGCATAAGACATGTATAACGTCGTGTTACTAAATGTGAACGGCACTGACCGTCCATCCTATCCATGCGCTGCGTACTACTTCTTGGCATTCGGCTATTGGCCGCTTCGAAAAGACCAAAGACAGACAAACAGACGGTGAACATCCATCCAACAGCAGGAGAGTGGTAGATTCGCCGATTTTGGGTCAGTCAGCCGATAGGCAGTTACACATACGGATCGACAGAGCAAGTGGCGGACGTTCCGGAGCAGGGCTAACCATTGCTGTGTTATGATGCCTTACGTTACGGCGATTTTATACTTATCTCATTAATGTTACCGTTTATGCCATGGATAGGAGGCTGTGCGTGTTGTTTTTCTACACTTGCTCCACCGCTCGAACGAGAACAGAACGGTATTTGTCGTGTCGATGAAGGCGTTGTGCTTATTGATTTGAGATTTGCTATCGGAGCCGTTGTTTTCGGTCTTTGTGCCGTTCGTGAACAGGGGCCATAGGATGGTTTGGAACTCTGCTGTTGCACTAAGTAAGGGCTGAGATGAGGTTGTCTGTTGTGTTTGATCTTGCATATCCGTCGGCCGCTGGCTAATGTGATGGAGCTGCTGTCCCTTTTATCTATCGATGACTGGTGCCGCTGTATCTATACGAATACAGGGAAAAGAGCCGAAAACAGAGCGAAACTAAGTTGAGCTCAAAGTCGTTGGGACGAGTAAGGTGGGCGGAACAGATGGGCCGTGCACAAATACGCTCGCGCAACACAAGAGGTTATGAGGACCTGTTGCATTTGCTGAGCCAAAAGATGACTGGGGAAAACTATTCGTCATTCATATACGTACACAAATACTCCGTAGCAACTTACAAACTATACAGTGTAGAAATATATAGTACAGGGTTATGGACATGACGGAAATTGTATCTTGTAAAATATAACCAGTTAAGGAATACGACGTTCTGGAACAGGCTGTCTGAACTATTTGCAGTGGATAATTGCTTAAATTAATTTACATTTACTCTACCTAGTATAAGAAGTAGGAGTGAACGGTTGCCGACAGAGTTGTTAAAATTTGTCAAAAAGCAAACGTTTGCGCGCTGTGCTATACGAAGCCGTTGTGAGCCTACGTACGAGGTACTAATTTATGATATGAAGTTTTCTACCTTAGTTTGTTTCGGTTTACCTCGAAAGAAATAAGGTTTCTATTATTCATATTTCTCTTGCGATTCTGACTTATCGAACTCCTGTGCGTCTTTTGCGGTGCTGTAAAATTTGTGATTGTTTACCGTTGTGTATTTTTCCGCCGCCATTGCCATAAATTGCCTATTCGGTCTAGACCATAACAAGTAGCATCAGTGGCTCTTCCTGCGACGTGCGGAGTCAGTTTAAGGCAGTCTATATAAATAATGATGATGGCATTGCTGGTGGCAATGTAGTCATCTTTCTTATACGGCCTAGTGTACTATTGTACTCCTAATTGTTGCTATTGCTGTAGCTGTTGGTGTTATTGTTGTTGTTCCTGCTTCTGCTTCGCCTACCTTTGGCGCTGCTGTTGTTGTTGTGGTCGGTTGATTAGTAGATGGTCGAGAGTTCTTGCCGGGGCCTCTCAAAGTTCCACTTGAGCTGCGACGTCCATAGCGATATACAGTCGCCAAAGTTGGCCGTCATTTGTGCTATGCGCTGCAATCGGCTTAAAATAGATAGATACGATATGATACGATGACTCTTGATTTTTCTGTTCTGCTCTGTTCTCTGCTGCACCAACTGTTAATATCTGGACGCGCAACAGAGTTGGAAGAAGAAAAAGAAGTTACTAACTCAAGTCACTAGCAAACCGATCTCTCGGAAGAACAAGCCAGCGGCCAAATGAGAACGGCGAGTAGGAAAGCGGCCTGACTGGCCTTATCCGCCTGGGGCATAATCAAGGGGCAGTAGTAACTGATTTTGTCAACAATGCTCATGTGTGCATCGCATGCAGCGTCTGTGTTTTCAGGCTCCGTTACCCATTAAAAATGAAACTGACTATGCTCCTAATAACCGTTAGTGGATTTTTTTGTATAGGAGTGAGCAAAAGCGAAAATTAACACTGAACAGGGAATTGTAATGTTTGTGCGTGGATTTCTACTGGATGTTATTGGTCGATTTTACGAATAGAAAGCTAGCACAGTTTTAGTATTTACGCAACGTCACATATTGGAATTACTTTTCATGCCGCTGGTTTTTGTGGGTTCCTTTAATGGGTAACTTTATCTATCATCAGCGAGTTAATTGTAAATAGAATCGTTGTAACCAATCAAATTAATTTGTTTAATAGAAGAAGCTCCACTTCTGAGTTACTTAAAAATCGATCAGATATTAAAATGTTGATTGTTTCTCTTGGGTGGCTCAGATTTAAAGAACGCCTAGTGAGCTTTCGTACAACAGTCTTTAACAATTTGCTTCAAGTAAAGCATGTAAAAAGAGCAAGTTAAGTCAACCTGTGGATCGTGCAGTAGAATTATACGCAGTTTATATGATTTTTCTTTGAAATCAGATATTTAAATCCTTCAAAGGTGCGCTATAGGTACCGTGGCTATCCATTATCAGGATCTAGTTCACATTTGCGTGTTACCAATGTATAGAATAAAAATAGCATTTATTGTATTCAAAAATTTGGATAATAGTGGGCAGATATACTTGGTGTGTATTTCATAAGAGAATATGCTTATACTACTAAATGTTTTAATCAATTTTAGGAGAAATAAGGAAAATTTATCAAAATTACTGGTAAATGAAGATGCTGCCATTTGCTTTGAAAGATACGTTCCATAGGGTTAAAGCTATGTTTATTTAAAAAATGAGAGTTTCTTAAATCCCAAGAAATGAGTTTAAAAACAGGCCCAATGCTTGGAAAACTTCTCGTTGATTAACAATATTATCGTAAAATATTATATGTAATAAGATAAAAACTATTAAGATTGCTATTTGCGTCAATGAATAGCAAAAGCAAGCCTCAAAAATGAAGGTCGTCGGCACATCACACAAGAAAGCCCTCGATGTAACTGGCTACATCTCGTAACTAGTTGTAAAATACCGACAACTGCTAGTATTAATTTTACATTCATCTGATGGCTATTTTTTAAAAACGAAACTGGATATTTTTTCCATGGCATTTGAGAATCTAGTCTTTAGAGTAACATAAGCTATTCTTAGGTTTATTACAACACGCTTAGAACTGCTAAGGATAAGCGCGCAACTTTCGCAAATTTTTTTCTGAATCTATTGATTTATTATCATCGCAGTCCTCAATTGTTGTATAGAGTAATACCAAAATATTTTCTTTTTTTAGAAGGTACTAATAACGATAAAAATAAACTCAACAAATTAAATATCTTTAGATATAAAGAAGTATTGTTGAGCAAAATTATCGAATAATTGCTGTACAGTTTAATGTATAGCTACACCATGCTGATGAACTTGAAGGTTAATTTTCACAAATCAAATTTTTTTCATTAGGTTATTCTATAGCATTACAAACGAGCTGTTTCAAGACCGAATCATATGACTGTCTGTCCTTGTATCGCTATGTCAAGCCTTAGCGATAGACGTTCTTATGTCTAGATAGGCGCTAAACACTGACGCGTTCCTGTGTTCGCAGATATTTTGAACTCGAACAAAATTATTATGCAGTCAGCAGAGCAGAAGCCACATACAGCTACCCGATCTGAAAATCAATTTAACATTAAGCTTGGTTGACGAGGGTTGGGTGGTAGTGGTGAGTTTGTCATTGGTCAGTATCTTTCTATCGTCGGTTGATTGTGTCCATATATACGTCTGTGTAGCTAGTTTATGGACAAGCTAAATTCTCTAAAAAGAAAACTCAACCAGAGCGACAAGAAAATGAGCTGCTACTGCCGTTGTTGTTGTTTCTACAGCAGACCGCTGCGACTGTCTGGCCTCGATTCATCGATGGCATCCGATCATTTTCGCTTTTATCGTCTTTTTTTGTACTAGTTCTGCTTAAGAATATGTGCCGTTCAATGGACTCACCGAAACGTTGATGTTTTCTGCTCTTTGTAACTATTATAGCAACAGCCTGTCGAAAATTAAGAGTAAACCGGCAAGACTTTAGCTGGATACATACTTCCATGTACGACCATAGAGCCAGTAGCGGTGGGCCTGTTTGGCGCTAATACATCCGTTTGTTCAGTCCATCGTATCACCGACAAGGAACGTGCAATCGTTGTTAATGGTATATTTAATTTCTTGTGGCTCAGTTTCAATTATTAACCACCAGTGATATCCAGCAAATTATGAATCGCGAGTAGGAGATGACTCTAAAGGAAACAGAGATGTTCTGCATTAGTTGATCATTTCCGGCATGTTTTTGTTACTACTGTTGATTCGAGAGGTGTTATTTGCTTGTGTTTCACTTTCAATTCGGTCAATGCTCATTCCATGTAGCTGCTATCAACAATACTTGGCGTGAGAGATGTTGACAAAAACACTATTCTTTCTATTGCTGTCACATGCACTTGTTTATAAAATTCATGTGATAGAGACGACCCTTTTTTGTAGTCGCTAAAATCACGGAAATTAAATTTCTAAGGGCATTTTTTCTAATTATTCAGTGATGATTGTTCAATTCTGGCCGAATAAACGACCACATGGCACCTTCCTGTATGTTCAGATAACACGATTAGCTGGGTCATATAGTATTTAAAACTCACCTCTGAAAGATTTTTAGCAGCTGGAAGATTTGAACAACGCTGCCAAACTGACAAACATCGAGTTAGCTTTGCACTGCACTCTGAAGAGCCTTTACGGGCTGTAGACAAATTATCTAGTTCTGTTACCGAATTACGTATAATTTTCGAATTATGGTAGTGCCAGAAAGTTTTGTCGCTGTTGGCCTATGTGGAAGCAGTTTAAACACGATGTAAAAAGTTTACAGTAAAGTGCTTCATGGAGGATCATATGCGTTTTAATTGCAAAACTAAATAAACCCGACTATGGGTTTTATCGTATATACATCATAATAATGGGAAAGAAAAACCGTCGGCTATCAGCTGTCGAGTTCCATGTGCACAGCCATTGTATTGCATGATTGGGTAGATACTTCATTTTAGTAGAATAAATGAGTTAGCGATTAATCATATTTGACGCCGAATGTATTTCAGACTCGCTTTTGAACTGTAACGGCAGCAGAGTTGATACATATAGAAAATAAAAACAAAAAATACAGTCGTTTAACATTATGTATTCAGATAATAAGGGCTAAACCCTCGTTGTAACTAAACTTCAACGCAGTTACCTGATTTTAGAACTTTCTTCGTGCTCGACTTCGTACAGTCTATTTATGTAGAACAGTTTGAACTCCTTGTTAGCTTCAATGAAAATAGCTGACTCCTTCGTGCGTAACGTTCCGTAAATTGGTAATGACCGTCATCGGTGGAAATATGTGCTGCGTTGGTCTCCGTAGTCGTGTTTCGACAAATAGTATATTTTTGCAGTTACGATTACTAGAGATTACCTCTATTTTAATTAATATTCGTGTATTATAATTATTTTAGAGAAATCTTTATTTTATATAGCCACTGCATCAAAGTTCTTCAGGACAGCTTTGTCTTTATTTTTTCTTACCCGGTGATTATTATTGAAGCTCCCATGGCTGGAGTCGCTAGGTGCAATTAGTATTACCAGTTCGTCACGGCGCGGTGGTAACGTCTTTGCCTACTAAGTGTAAGGACATGTCAACTGGTCTAAGTTCGAACTTGGTGTAGATATACTTCGTTTTGTGGTGGAAAGAGTTAGTCGTCTGAAACAATGCCTAACGGCATTGCCACCAAACGTAGAACTCAAAATATATATTTAGTCTTACCAGTTTGTATGGTGCAGCACTAAGACATCTGTCGGATTGGTGTATCATCTTGTTGCTCCACCCTACGGGTAATATTTTCCTCTATGCGTCTCTGTTGACTTCGTACATGTGATATTTGTCATAATAACAACAATAAAAATAATCAAAATTAATGTTTTTATTAGATAGAAATATTATTAATTCCTAACTTATTTTTTAGGCTTCATCTGCTACTACCAGTGTGAAAAGTAGTAAAGATAATGATAATAATAGTAAACTATTTAATACGTTTAGCAGTAAAATAAGTGCCAGAAAACGTCGTACATTTGTGGCGACCATATCATTGGTGTTCGCCGCAGAAAACATAAGCAACGATAATTTCACTGTTTGTGGAGAATTTTAGTGCCATTTGTTCAGGACTGCTGCGTATTAAGCATCTACTAACAAAATGGGATCAAAAAGCAACTGCTTGGTATGTGACGTTTTTCCATTGATTGGGTGTACCGTTTGCGACGGCTCGACACAAGGAAGAGGACATAAGGCGAACGACTGTGGTTTAAGATGTTATCTAAGAAGGATGCCCGCGCAGCAGCACCAGATAGTGAACTACGAGATCAAGAAGCTGGCGGTGCTAGTATTGTTCAATCTTTAAACAGATAGGGCACATCTTGAAGAGCGCTTTAGTATTTAGTGATTCAGCTAATTTTATTTTGTATCCTTAATTCACTTGCCTTGGAATTATTTGTCTTTTTGAGCGTACTAAAATTACGTACCGTTGAGGAAAAGAAATTGATCATCTTCTTTAAATCGAGTTAGTGTTTTAAGTACCAGAATTTTGCTAACGTATTTGACGTTTTATCACTGTTTATTTCCTAGTGATCTGCCCAAAAGTATTTAGTCTTTAGTATAATACAAACACATGTACTGATGTTTTGAAGAGACTTGTTAGCACATCGTTAGGCAGCCATTAAGCGACTCAGGCCACCGTGAAATGAACACCGGTGCTGAATAAAGGATGGTGGTACGACTAGCCAAAATCTTTCTGTTTAGCCGATGTTTTTATCTAATATTTACAATCGACTGTTCCCTATTGTCGCGAGATAAATTGTTCTTTGTAACTACAATGTTATCGGCGTTGCGATTTACCCTCGTGGAGACGTTTAGCAAAGCTGTATGTCTGTCTCTGTGCGTATTAGCAATTATAGTTAGATCATTATTCTCTCTTTTCGAAGGAATCAACAACAAGTTTAGCCGTTTTTCAGCGTGAAAAGCGTTTCGCTTTTCAGTTAAAACCACTTAGTTATTAAAATTGCGGGTACCCCACAGCCACTATTTTGTTACCGTTTCGAATGTTAACAGAAAACGGCTATTCAGGGTGGGAGCATATACAGGTTAAAGGATTAGCGTACGTGGCATTTACCATTCAGTTGAAATAAGACAAGTGGCTCAACATCGTCACGAAACGTTTTTCCTGCAGAGAACCTACAGATGATTGACTGGAAAAATTGTATTAGCATAAATATGTTTACTTAACAATATCAGCTCCACCAACTTGATATTGAGAAAGTATCGATCTTAGTATATTTGTAAAATTTTTTGTAACTCATATCAGGAAGGAAGGAGATCAATCTGTGGTTAAACTCTACGCTCTCAAGCTTTCAGTAAAATAAAAAAAAAACCTTTAAAAGCGAACGGCTAAAGCAATATTATGGGAAGTATGGGCTATGACAAAATCCTACTTAATTTCCAACGTTCCAAAAAAAAAGTTCCAACGTCAGATCAAATTGGTGGTTATTTGTTTAAAACGAAAACCTTCACACTTAATGCAATATAAGAATAATCCATAACATGTCGCAGATCCAAAATGGTTCAATCGTTAAACACCTTTGCTGGTACAGAGTGTCACGATGATTTGTGCCTCCTACCTAAAAACTTTACTACTTCACTTTGCTATAGTGGAATTAACCAACATTCTATTGCTTGTTTGTTATTTTTGTATATTTGTTATTTTCAGGCGATAGCTATGTGACGTGGCACAATTAGGCAGGTGACAATCACAACTAGAGAATGTATCATAAGCAAGATTAGTATTCAAGGAGGCTATGAGACCGCTGAACAAGGTAGCAGTGACTATTCGTCAAGCGTAGCTGTCTTTTCTGTCAAATCTCTTGCTGCTGTTTGAAATTTCGCAGCTGATTCTGTGGTGGTGAAAGGCGCACCAGCGTTCCGCCGTTGTCACTCGAATTTCAAGAATGATAATGTTGTTGGATGGAAGCTGCAAGGCCGGTTGCAGCGGGGTTGAGCGGTTCCGGGGGGCCGTTCCCTAAGGAGACCACGAACACGGCCCTAAATAACAACAATAATCGTAACAGTGACGAAAAAAACGGAAAACAAAGACGTAAAATCATTGACGACGACGACAACGCCAACTCAGGCCCAACCCGAGCGGTTGAGGTTGGTGGGGCAACAACTTCCGGATCTTTTGCCTCTTCTGGAAAACGACAGTCGACGTCGATAGCCGCGCTGATTTCCTCGTTTGAAGCATCTTCAGCCGGGGCATCAGGTTTGGCAAGTGCGACCGTTACTGCTGCCAGCGTTCTCCCTTCCACTACTTTGTCGTCGCAAGGAAACACACTGGTAGGCGGTAGTCTAAAAACTGGCGCATTTAGAGCCTCCGTAAAAGCAAAGGATGCTGCCGTTCTAACCGTTCGAGGTGGTGCGGAGAATGCACAATTCGTCTATCTCGATAGTGAAGGTAAGTTTTTGATTAACGTTGATTCCAACTTGGGTCCTTTTCACTGTCTCTTTCAAGATTTTACTTATGTTCTAAGTGATTAAGAAGCTCTACGATGTTATGTTATGATTCTAAGAATGTGTAGTGTAATATAGACCGTAATCGAACTCATACACTAGCTTAGCTAATCGTGGGCTGATATATACAGAAGGCAAAAAGCGATTTTATAATACCCGTTTAGTTCAAACGGAGGTAGGGAAGAACGCTTTTGGTGAGTTGCTCAGTGCTAAAAGGACTACTACATTTACTTCAGTTGCCTCCACTGTCCAAGCGCTGTTTATCGATGTAATGTTTCTTATACAGCGATATCAATGTTTTCATTGCATCGGTCCATAACATTCCTTTCAGTTTATTGGCTGGTTCATATTGACACGCTGCTGGTAGCGACGCCAGCAACACAGTCTAGTTATACCCATAGCTACAGTACGTTATGATTTTGTACCGATATCATTTATTATCACCCTGACTGTATAAAAATCGACACAGAAATAGATCTATTCCGAAAAAAAAGTGCATATATCTGGTGACATTGCTTAAAACATTTATTAAAACGCCCGGTAATAGGTATCGGTGGCTAGCTCCATTTTTGTCGTGTGTCATATAGTATTTATGATTGTGATTTATTTCGAGTTTAGAGCAATGGTGGAACTAAGAAAACGGACAATATAATCTTTTGTTCAAAAATTTATGAGTCATGTGTTTCAGTTTGACAATAAGTATTGATTTAATTGTTTAAGTTTAAATTGTCCCTTTCGAAATAGTTATACGGCGTTCTTCGGTTGTGGTTCGTTCTTGAACCGATACTGGGAAGACTGCGTCTTGATCTCATTTTCTTATCCGTACACCCAGGTCTGATAACCTGTAATGACGTGTTCAAGCAAATTTGGCTTTTTTAAAGATGCTAAACAGTTTACCTGAACCAGTTTGTTCTGGACATTTATCTGCTAGACACTTAGCTGTTTCAGCGCAAACCTTGCCGCAAGTCTTCTGATGCCTAAATGGTGGGCCGAACGGCCTGACATAGGTTAACTGAGAATTCTATATTTTTTGTTAGCTTTCTTATAGTGACTCGGCGGTTGGTACCCCTTTCACGTTCTCGTCAGTAATTGCTCCCATAGGCCGTCCAGAATAAGGATCGTCTTCGATAGACTCTTTTTCGTCTTTGAAACGTTTGAATCCGCTTGTGTACTTACTCTCTGTTTCACTCTGTATTCATCTGGTTTCCGTAGGCACTCTGCAACATATGCAAAGTGTTTGAGCGGTTAATTTCGTTCTTAATATAAAAACCAATGTATGCTCGTTGCTCTATTTGCGAAAAATCGGAGAACGCTCAATACATACACTTTCACTGGAAAGCCCGAAATTGTATCCAATCGTTATGAAGTTTCACCCAAAACAAACAAAGATCATCTGTTTGCACGAAAATTTAAACGACTCGTTCATTTTGACAAAGGTACGATACCTAAATTGGACTTTTTTAAATGTTCAATTTCGATGAAAACGAATATTTCAACGAATATTTTTTACATGTTTTGTAAGTTTCGTTCCCGAGTGTACCGCTTATTCCAGATAATCACGATTTGCTATGATTACAGCTTCGATTCAGCTGTTAATCTACTAGACCACTGTCTAGTCATTTCTAATATTCAGTTTCTTTTAGTCCGCAAATGACGTTTTAATGTTAACGTTAAACGATATCGGTAGATTAAAATATCGTGAAAATAAACTGCGCTCAAAAAAATTAAATGCAATTAAATTTTAGGTTGATAGCAGGCCAAAAGCCCCAAAAAATGCAAGGGTTCAGGATGGCCAAAAGTGCAAAAGATTTAAGGAAGCACAAAAATCTCATAAAAGCTAATCGTTGGTGTTTGTTTTCTTCCCAAGTAATAACGGTCGTTTCTTTGAAAAATGTAGGTTATTAAAAATGCATTTTCGAGCCGTTTTAACAAACTTTTATTGAGTACCTTCGCCTTATGGAGAGCTTCCGTTTTCTAGAAGCCGTATGAAAACTAACAAGAACGTTGCCATCAATTTTGGAAAAATGAAAGCTCTAGGTAAGGGTTCGTTCAGTGCGAAGGGGCTGAATAATAGCATATTTTAGCAAAAATTGCGGAAATCACGCAATGTTTTCCATCATCACAAATGTTTTGTTTTGTTCTAAGAAGAACAGGCATTTTTAATATTAAGAATGGCAGAAGAACACACGCCTGTTACGACAAACAGTCCGTTAAAATTTGTTCGAGCCTAGGCGTGTGTGTCATAGTGGAAAACACTTTTTGAAAATAGCTGAAATGTGCAATTATTCAGTCCTTTCGCACCGAACGAACCCTCACCTATACCTTCCTTTTTTTCTCCAAAATGAATGGCATATCTTATTGTCAGTCTTCACGCGGTTTCTGGAAAATCGAAGATTTCCATAAAGCGAACCGGAGTCCTCGATAGGTTTAAATTTAAAAAGTTTATCGACAAGGCATTTTAATAACTTGGATTTTTAAAAGAGATTACCGTTGTAATTATTATTATTATTATTATTATATGCGTGGCAACTTAGCAAAAAAAAGAACGACCAAATAGATCTCCACTCACACAGCACGATTGAATACCCTAGGGGTTAATTCGTACCCCGTGTTTCTCAATAATTTCAGATTTTGCTACGCTAATGGTTGCATCATTCATAAAACGATCTCGCCAATACGGCTTTTGCCATAGCTGCAATAATCATTCGCTTATTTTTAACGACTGTTTAAGTAAGAACGGTAGCGCTCCTTATTGACCGCGTGAACAAAGCGAGAAGAAAGCGATTAGCTACTATAGTATATATCATGAACCATATGTAGGGACTGCTAGATATGTACTCAACGTAGTTAAATTTCTGTCGGAAGTCATAGCACAGTATTATTGCTAATGCACACCATACTGATTAGACTAACAATACAAAGCCACAACATAACTAGCAGATTAAAACTACTATAAACACAAGTGAGTGGTACCGATCGATGACTTAGATTTAAGGTCCCCGTGATAGCTTAGTGGGTAACGTATTTCTCTGCTCTTCTAAGGGACACCCGGTCATAGACACACGCTTCGTTTCCTGCTGGAAGCAAGCCGTTTTATGGAAAACCTAATGGCGATACCGGACGTAAAACTCGAAACGAAGGTTTGAAGAGAGTCGCTAATCAACCAAATGTCTGAAGAAGCTCAGCAAAAGTAAATTCCAGACTTGACAAATTTGCCACTCAAGAGTTGAAGGTTCTGGCTACCGTTGGCTAAGTGCCGTTGATGTCAGGTTAAAACGACTGCGCGCATAACGTAAACATCAAGCATATACTCGGGACTTTCTGCTCGACAATATTTTTATACCTTATAAAAAGCTTTTACCAAGATTTATCGTTGCGCGACATGGTTGTGAACCGCCGCTATCAACTTTTCCATTTTTTTATGTTTTTTTTTCGAAGCAGAGTCAATACATATACTACACGAGGTAATAGATGGAATAATATTGATTACCCATCAGTGTTCTCTAACGGTGGTTCCATGACCAATATCACTGACAAATCCACCACGATCGATATCCCATGCTGTGTGTGTTAACTATTTGTCTGCAGCGTTGTGAAAAAAAATAGCTCTTCAATCATATGGATTGGGCCAGCCGGTCTTGTCCTTGAACTTGGTCATCGCTTGATATGGCCTCCTCGGTGGCTAAGCTTCACCACAGAATTTGGCGGCGAGTTTAATAGTTGCTTGTGCACGAAGCGCGCAGCGATAATAAAACTTCATAGCGACTTGCCGTTTTCGGTTGGAAATTTTTGTCAACGCTGCTACGTCGAATTTCGCACGAAAACTTTAATAAAATGCTGTGACGAAGCTGCGGGACGTTTTTGGCTGTTAGATTTACTGGACGATGTATGCATGAGCATTGTTATTGCGGGTTAATGATATGGATACAGGTGTGAAGTTTAAATTACAGTTGTTACTTCTAGTGCTTAAATTATCATATTTTAATTTAGATAGTTGGCTGGATTCTTATAGGCTGCTACGAAAGCTTTAAATACGACAATATTAAAAAATAGTGTAAACAATTTAGAGTCAAGCGACGCAAATAGCTAGATAATATTATGCTCGGTATCACGTACAACGCTGTAGAGTAACAAATTAAGACACTTCCTTTAGATGTTGTGTCAAGTTTTCAGTCGACTCAAGAACTTGAAGAAGTTTGGACACGTTGACATGTCTGTGGAAGTCAAACGTAAAAATCGGCACTATTATATCTTCTGTCGCGTTCTCTAAGAGTCGAAAAAAAACGTTAGATTGCAACCTGCAGGTGGCGCTGCTTCTCGTTGAAAAACTAACCTAGCCATATGCTGGGGCGTTTTGCGTTTGTTGGAGGTGTAGCTTACTACACGATCAGTGACAGTAATGGGGTCACATGTTTATTATGAATAGTTCTTTTGACTTCTATCCGTAGTCCCTAAACGTTGACCACAATCGACCTTAACATTTCGTATGATATGTGTAGTCTCAAAAGCACAGCGTATCAGATTTAACTAATATGAACTTTGTGACTGAGCATTTACAATACTATTTTTGCGCAATCTCTATATAGCTATAATAAAAAAAAGTTATGGGATAATTAAAAAAGATTCAGTTGATAACCACCAATTTTTTACGGAAATAGTACTCAGTATAGGTTACTATTCTGTGACAAATGAAGACTACAGTAAAAGCTATCTCAGAACTTCCCTAACTTAGCATAAGATCAAGTTATAACTAATTCCTTTTGCTAAGATGTTATTGTTGTGATTGAAGTTACTATTTTTCTTACGACATTCATTGTTGAACACTTGCTTACACGAAAGTCTCAACCTATAGTGTGTCTGCATTCTAATAAGCAATACACCCTAACCGCTCAATTGCCACGTAAAGGGGTTTCCCGTACGTCCTATGCGAGTTCTTCTCTCGTT